TAATTAAATATAAGATTGTCTGTGTCATGTCTACAACAAAACTTGTGTTTTTCACCCTTGGAAATAAACGCCACAAGTCCCATATTAAGTGTCTAAAATTCTAGAAGGTTTCTTAGGAACCACAACAAGCAAATTATAGCTTAGCATAATTAATATTCCTAGGACTAAATATTGATTCCTGAAGACTTACTGGAACCACAATTTTGCTGAAACTTTGCTTATACCCATTTACTTGTGATGTGAAAATACATAGCAGCCATCTGGAAGACGTAATTCTGCGAGAAACTTTTAAAGAAAAAGAAATTAGAGAAAGAAGACGATGATAATGAAGACAGAAAAAGAAGAGGAAGGAGGAGGAGGAAAAAAGTATGGAAATAAGATAAAGACTAACCTCCTATATGAGTGATATAAAAGATATTTGTTTTCTATGATGACCTGTAGTTACTGTTAGAATAGCTCTTATACCACCGAAATGCGTCTCCCCTGTGAATGCTGTACACAACAATATCTCTTTGTAAAACAATTTATAAGACAATAAAATTTTGGTTATTTTTTCAACATGATTGTGTAAACACAATGTATCAAATATTTATGACAATCGAAATTTAAAAGATTTTGCCCACTGGTGTCGTTAAATTTGAAAGAATTAAGTTCTCTATGTAGTAATTCTTAAATATGTTCTTGAATTGTAAAAAAAGTATAAATGCAAAATTCATAGAACGCGAGACTTTGAATGCGTATTCAATGCTGGATCGAGAAAAATGAGAAGTAAAATATGAATATAACATGCGCTGTATTCATCTTCGGTATTATTCTTGTTCATGTTCTTCATTTCAAAGGCAAATTGGTTTCGTTCTGTTTTGGACTTTGCTGATTTCTTTCAACCAATAAAATTTCCTATCAATAACAAAAATTCATAATAACCTATCAATGACAAAAAATAACTTTCAATTACAAAAAATTATAATTATCTGTCAATACCAAAAATTACCTATCAATACAAAATATTTATAATTACCTATCGATACAAAATTTCTGAATTATCAATCAATAACAAAAAAATAAAATTATGTATCTACATCCACTGGATATTTTCCGTTTTATTTCCTATGAAAACAGATTCCGTTAATCAATAGATTTATCCAAAACTAGTTAGAACAGGCTTCTTTAAAGACATCGATATGAGAGATTTCTTAAGATGTGAGCTCTTCCATCAGTGCAACGTACATCATTTAGGGAATGATAATACATGTACTGTATTTTACGTACTTTTATCTACTTTGTATACATTATTAATACAGATATAAATAAATATGTATAAACAATATAATGTCTTTCTTTCTTTGTTAATAAAGAGATTAACAAATGCAGTCATTGCAGAAAAAACACAATCTGCGTAACAGACTATAGGAAGTTCACGTACTTTAGAACATGAGCTTCTTGTAATCTTTGATCATGGGCTGTCCCGTTTTATTAATTTTCAGAGATTGCTTTGAGACACAAGCAGAAGTATTTACGTTTTTATGACATGCCAAACGATATTGGTAATTCTATTCTCTTCTAAAACCTCAATTATGTCCTGATTGAAACACTTGGGATGTAACAAGATGACATCAGATAATACAGCAAGAAGAATTATGATTCATATGTTGCTCTCCTTTCTCAAAAATTCTGGTAAATTGGAAGTCATACATCAGTTAGATGTTTGAACGAATAAACGCAGAAAATTTGGGGAAGTGCTGCAACGTGCGTTAATTTATTTTAAAGTACTTATAAATATTTACCAAATGCATGTGCTGCAATTAAATGTAAATAACAGGTTTAACGGCTTCCTAATTCACATCCTGCACTGCAGTTACCGATTCTGTGATCTACGTAAAACAAACCAAATGCACATTGGGAAGTTAACATGCAATTCTGACAAACAAACGTAAATCTCCCCAAATCCCAGACTTCCGTTTTTGACGCGTTCTTGTCGCTGAGCATTTGTAATATTTGAAATAATCTACTGCAGAACTATTTTCAATAGCGGGGTTTAAACTGGGAACAGTAAATAACTGACAAGAAGTGAAGGACATCAATTCTTATGATAATTATATGTTTCTGCACATTTTGATAGTAAATCTTAAAATGGTTGAAATACACATATTTTTTAATACTTATTTAATACATTAAAAAACAAATTTTGTGAAAATTCTATCACAGATTCGTAAACCCATCACAACTGCAGAATGTAACCATTATAACCACAATATATCCTGCTAAATACCCTTACTACATTTATAAAAAAAAAAAAAAACAAGCATAGTAGAAAAAATTCAACACAGAAACAATACAAATCGTTAAGGAAAAATGAAAAATAAATTTAAAAAAAAAGCTGGATCCCAAAGATTATCCTCTGACAAGGTTTACAGTAATTTTTTATCGATTGATTTATACAGATTATAAACTCTGTTATTTGTTTAGAATGCTGGTTTATTTTATTGTCAGTTTTTGATTAAAAACCACCTTCAAAGTTGATATTTTATTTTAATCTGATTATTGTTCATAAATCCCTAGTTTTGAATGTATTTTCAAATGGATTTCTTTGAATTCAAATTCATGTTATTTTTTAAGTAACATTCTGTAGATATATATAAGAAAGGATGGCGATTATTTGAAGGGTACATGTACTTCTATAATACTATATATAGAACTAAGCGGATTTTATTCTGTCTGTTTATATTTGAGATCAAATCTTAATCACCAAAACATGCTACAAATTGTTTTTATTTACAATTATCCATTTGTTCTATTCATGAAGAAACGCCTAGTTGATCTTGGCACATTTCCGTTAAATACTTGGGTATGTCTACATAATAAGATGAAATATGAAGATAATGTACAGGAAAAATGCTCAAAAGTTCAAATACAACCGCGGACCCCTGAAAACTTCAGGCTCCACTGAAGAGTAAGCATCCCCTGTAGACTGGTCACGCCCGCCGTGAGCTCGTAATCTAGATTAGATAATCGGATAAACCTGTTCTCAATTCAGTATGGAAATAACGGATTATTGTATTGTATTATATTATTATTTTAATTGTATTAAAATATCCGTCAACTTTAACAACAGGTTGTATTTGCAAACAAGGTCATTTTATTGACCATTGAATTTTCGAAATGTTGATTATAAACAAGATTATTGATACCCTTTAACGTCAATTTATTCGTCAGTAGCTTGCTTCGGTTTAGAAATTGCACTTGTATATCTTTGTAAAATGATTGTAAGATATCATGAGCTTTTTAGGACTTTTGAGATTGATCACAGTTCCAATTTTCTTATTTTTACAGTTTTATGTTAAATTTTGCGTCGGAATGGAGTGCTTCTGGAAATGGAAAAATTGGAAACATAAAATTTATCGGCTTTACTTTAGAATTGCACCACATACATGTATAATCTGAATAAAAAAGAATTCTCATTCTATACAAGATCTTTGTTCATATTTCAGAAAGGGTCGGCAGGGTATGCTCACTTCTCCATGGCACCTGATCCCACCTCTGATGTATTTGGAGGTCCATGTTTGCTCTGCTCCCGATCTGTATTGTTTTGATGGACTTTGAGCTTGAATACTGTTTGTTATCTCCATATTTCATTTCAAAGTCGTTACAGAAAGGTTACATTTCACGAATTCAGCAGAATTCGGGCTTTTATCAGCGAAGCCATTGGACCACTTAGTTTCTGATTGAAACACCCTAGATGTAACAAGATGGCAGTAGATTATATAGCGAAAGAAATTATGATTCATGAGCAACAACATTCTCGATAATTGGATGAGATCACTTAAGAATTTTGAAAGGCTCAACAGATGATGATTGCAAGAAAGTGAGGCGTGTGTGAATTTACTTCAACATAGCTCCAAATGTTAAATAATATCCAAATGTATTTGCAGTAATTTAAATTCCAGGTTTATTATCGGCTTCAAATTATTTATATCCTACATTGCTGTAGCTGCGTCTTAGTTTTATCTCGTTATATAATAAATATACGCATGTTCATTCGTAGACATGCAATCTACATTTATGAAAGTTAGTTGTCTTGCTTGATCAATTCTTAACTAAATCAGAGATCAGCATCTACATTGTACTAAACAAAATTTACATTAGTCAGCAAACTGCTTGATTTTTTTACGATGAGATTATCTGGGGTATAAAAAAAATCCTTATGAACAGTACAGAATCATGTACGAAAAACTAATTAGAAGAACAAGGTTTAATAAGATACTATTTATAGATATTCAATGAAGAGAGATAGATTTTTCTAATGATAGAACGTTCAATTAATCAGCTGAAAGAATTTCACTTCTTTGAACTCTACACGACCTTGCTTCAATATCAATACTGGAAATTTCTTCATGAAAATTGGTCGAGAAAGTTAAAAAAAAAATACATATTGCAATATTTTTCTACATTTGATCCTTCTTTTAATTTTACACGATCAATCTTCCTGCAGAAGTATATCTTTTTGAGCACAGAAAACTGCACAAACAAAATTAAGATTGTAGCATGTATATTTCCGATAAGATGTCTTTGAAAATATATTTAACGCATGTTAAACAGCATGCTTATTCCAGACTAGTGAATATATAAAACATATATGATGTCCATCAAAATGCTGTAAATTCTGAGAAAATAGCACTACCGAGACCAATTAGATGGAAAAAACATAATATAATATCTTTTATCTGGCCTTCAAAAGAGGAACTTAAAAATAATGTTGTTGATTTGGATTTGTGTAGTACTGTTACTTTTTACGTTTTAGAAAGATTTTTTTTTTGAAAATATATATATTAAATAAAGAAAATCGAATGCAACAAGAATTTGCAGGAAGACACTTCAGGAATTAATTTTACTACAGATTATAAGTTTTAACAACTATTGAAAAAGATATATCTAAAAATATTGTGATGATTTGAAATTTCAACAATACAAAACTGTGGTAAATACGAAAGAATAAATTAAGCTTAAGTTCATATTTTATTTCTTAATATGAATAACAGAATATTATTTATGAATATTTGATTTTTCGTAAAACGATTATGAAGAGAATAAAATAAGAATAGTGTGGTGTACATGAATCATATGAATTTCACTTCCTTCAATCACAATAAAAAGTCTGTCAAAAATGATAGTGCCATCAGCACTTTATCACATGTTGAATATGAATTAATTCGCATTCTACAAGTACATGTAAATTGTAGTTTCTTCCTTTTTCTTAGTTCACGAGGAATTCTTATGACTTTGTCACATGGTCGGGGCACGTGACCTCCATTTCATCTCTAAGCCTCGAATTGGATTTCGAATCTGAAGTTTAGCTTTAATGGCGGGATTCTGCATAAACTTTGAAATTTTTTCCCTCTTTTTATGTGTCAATTTCACTTGCCGACAAACTGAAATATACGCATTTGTCACCGAATTATAGCTTTCACTTGCAGAAGTCTCAAAGAATAAGCAATTGTATTCTGCACAGAACTGCGTGGCTTCAACATTTGTAACAGTACTCATATGAACGAGATCACTTTTATTAGCGATGAGTGCCATGACAGTTTTACTGTCTGTCTTCTTGGCAATTACATAATCAGCAAATTCCTTCAGTTTTTCAAAGCTTTCTTTATCAGTAATGGAGTAAACCATCATAATTGCGTCTGCCCAAACTATTTGGTCGTCTTTGATGGTGAATCCGTTGGCCTGAAATGATAATAAATCTGTGGAATGACATTGTCTAGAAAAAATTATAAAACAATTTTAATAGTTCTTATTGATGAATAACTGTATTTTTCAAAAAAAAAAAATCTTTTTGTTTGGAAGTTATGAACAGTCAGGTTGATACTGTTTAGGAGAGCAGAACTCCAAAGAACCTAACATTCTATATTTACATGTAGCACTAAAATCATTAAAGTCGCATTACTTTGATGACTACGAAGAAATATTGTATGAAAAGATCGAGACATCATTTTATGCCTACATGTATAGCTGTTTCCTATACATAAATCTGTACTATAAAAGTCATTTATTGCATTTTTTGCTGAGTGGTCCAACAAAAATGATGCTGGATTGGTCGGTGCGGTAGTTGAAAGGTTGGTGAGATGTTTGGTCGTTTTCAATTAAATGACATTAGTGGAACTATGTAAATAATACATATTACGGATTTTCCTTTTAATTGGTAGCAAATGCAATAAAAATTAACCCCATTTCAAAAAGGTAACTAAAGGATTTCTATATTATTTTGTTTCTTATAAAAACAAGTAATAAAACTCATGCTGTGTTCTTGCTGGGCATGAAAACAATAAATATTTAGCTTGAGCAACATTCATAATATAATATCCCCATTTTGATGGTTATCATATGAAAATAATTAATGTTTTCTCTAAAAATGAACACATAGGATAATGATGTACAATCAAAATATACAGGTTGAAATACAAGTCGAAATATCAAAAAGTATATGTTTACAAGAACACGTAGTTAAAATCTTTCATCATCGAAGATGAAACAGTCCCGGTACAGGTGTACCGATATAAAGATCATAAACGATTGATGTGATTTGTGTATTTCGTTGTATTCCTGGTGTGGTCTACAGCTTTGAATTTACTCCAGATCTGATTTTATTGAAGCTTTCAACTAAATCATGTCGGTCAGAAAATCTTATTTCTATTCTGCTGTTTGGGAATATTACTTTAATGCAAACTTAGAACTAATCAAACACAAAACATGAAAGATAAACAGTTGTTTCTTGTAACCATGGAAACATTTGTAAAATTATATTAATGAGCGTCATTAATAATCGAGGATAATCATTTATAGAAGATGTGAAGAGATCCTGTTTAGATGAAAACACATGTACACACATCATTATTGTACAACTGTATTTTCCAGAGATGTTTCTTTCTACGTTTTTTTTCTTTATAATAAAAATGCTTGCAATCCTACAATGTAATAGTATTAATGATAGTATTAATGGATGAATGGATAAAGGGTGCAGAGAATATAATTATTTTTCTAAAAGACTGCACTGCTAATAGTCAGAAAATCTTTTTATTTGGAATAAAATTCGAAGTATTATGCAACTATAAAAGAGTTCATTCTATAAAACTTCCTTTGTAGGAACCCTTTAATAAGCCTATGCACTATTGATAATTTTGCAATTTGAAAGAAAATGGTCTAGAAACCATACATTGTCTATTCACTGGCGTCAATTTTGATCCTTAGTTATCTTTATACAGCACACAAAGGTGTAAAAATGATCATAACTGTAACGATAATTGTGCTCAATAGCTCGAATGTCTCTGTAAGCCATTAGTATCGTCTAATAACTATTGAGAATTGAATCTTTCCATCTGAAAACTTGGCACTGATGTTATCTAAATACACTTTCCGTGATGGTAGATAAATAAAGGTTTTTACGTGTTTGAATAAATATGCCAATAATCTATAGGGTACCTCGTATTTCAAGATCTGTAAATCGATTTCATGAACTTAATGACATTCAGAATTTTGCGTAACACCTAGTTCCGATTTCTCTTAACATTTCCAGGAGGTGACTAAAGACTCTAAAATAGGTTTTGCAGCCACTATCATCTTTTTCTTTTGAGAAATACTATATGATAAATGCACTTATTTGACATATTACAAGTCTAAATATATGTAAAGATCCTCTTTGCAAGGGGTCCCGATAAAGGAACAGTTTTTCAAATTTATTTAACATATACTTCTTAGGATATTTTCCTATCATAGTAGTAGGATACATTTGTCTAACGATACCTTATATTAGGCCTACTTTAGATCAAACATCGATCTCCGAAGCGAAAGAAGAAAACATTGCAATTTTATGGCATATATTCGATTTATAAATTAAAAGGATTTTTTAAAAATAAAATAGAGATCTGAGAATTTATAGTGAATGTTTGTCGGAGATATGTTACACAAAATCAAATTTACAATCATTTTTTCTCTCTGGGACATATAACTCATTTTGCCCCCTCCCCCCCCCCCCCCCCCAAATCTGAACGTTCTTTAAAATTAAGGAAAAAATACTCCTCGATTTTCATAGAATGTAACATCTCTGTCCGTTGCATAAAGAAAATATTTATCCATCAGAATCTATCTAACGTTACCATCTGTTGACAGATGGAATGTAAACATGAGTATGATACTTTGAAGATTAACCCTGTTGATTATGTTTATCAAATATTACAGTGTCATACATATAATAAGGTTTTTGATACATGCATATGTTTCTAAGCCAAGGAAATGCATTATTAGGTTATTATATTATCTCTTATTATTTATATTTATACTTCTATCAAGAGATAAAATATGAAAGCATTATCAGCTCAAACAGTATATATACACTTCTAATATTGCTGTTGGAACTATGATCTACACAGCGTTGTGTATTTTTGTTAACGTATTCTACAAATGTTCTGCGAGTTGAAATGCCAGGCAGACGCTGTGGGCAAGTTTTTCTTACAATCTGAGAAGTTCATTTAACTGTCATAAGCTAAAATTCATCAAATTCCTTCATGATTATTTATATAACTTGTATAACAAGACTCTCGCGTCCAACATAGAGCCTGATTAAACCGTAGTTTTCTATAAGCTTTATTTCGCCATCTGTCATCAACTTTTTTCTCAGGTGTTCCATGCAGTAAAAAATACCCTAGTTTAAAAAACTTTGAAATATTAATTTCGATGATTGATAATTACCTGCCAGGCGGTGTCCAGAATGTGCACTGTGATTGTCTTTCCGTCCAAAGAACACTGCTTCGTGTATACAGCCTCTGTTAAAAAAAAAAACAAAAACAACAAATATGGTACCTGTTATTTCTGGTGGGATTTTTTTTAAAACTTAATTTTTGAGATTTGTTTAAAGCAATATACAAACAGGCTAATGATTGCTGCAACATTTTGAAATAAATATTACATTATTTACATCGCATTTAAGGAAATTAATATTTGGTTGTCCGAAATAAGCGTTCATAAGTGTTAATATTCAAACAAAACAGTATAATTTCTCTGCCTTTTAGACTCAAAAACAATGCACACATACTTTTTTGTATCTTGTTTAACTTTAATAATTCACCGTGTTTCCCATAGATTAAAACAAAAATCTTTATACTTATTTGTATTCTTAATTATGTGTTATACATGTATTATGTTGCTGAATCCACTATTTCCCATCATATCTTAAATAAAAACTTTGACATGCCTTATCTATTAAAGAGTAAGCTTAAATTATACTTCCATATACTCATAGAGAGAAAATGCACTCAACCTTGATAAACTAGCTAAAGAAGAATTTTGCACCACATATAATATAATCTGTAGTAAATATATTTTTTCGCAAATTTAATGGCAGAGACCTTGAAAAGTTTATATTAGAGGTTTTCAGTGCGGGAAGAGTAGAGCGCAGATTAATTTTAACGAGGTTTACTTCCTCTGGGTCTTGTTAAACTTGACACTAATAAGCTACTTATTGAATATAATGCACTTAACACTTGTGAATTTCATTCAATTTGTCAACAATGCTCTGTTTGCTGGTATTTATATCAGGCAATAATTTATTTTGAAACAAATGTTTTTGTATCAAAATATTTTGAAACAAACAAATTGAAGTATATGGATGTGTATGTTGGACGTTTATACACACCTCTCTTATCCAACTTTTTTGATTGACATCTTTTTTTAAATAAGCAATTTATATTCCATTAAGAGTTTCTTTTTTTTTTAAAAAAACGTTTTCAGTGGGCTTAATAAAAAGTACATTGTATATGCAAATATGTTTGTGTGTTTTCCAGATAAGTATAAATTTTTAATTGAATTTGATCGGTATACAAAAATACAGTTTTCTCGCTTTGTACTTTCAATGTAATCTCCCCTCCCGGTCCTTCGGATGAGACCGTATAAACCGCGGTCCCGTACGTGTAGCAGTAGATGCTGGCACGAAAAAGATCCCATCACTGCTCAATGGCCCTGAGTGCCGTGTATAGGTCAAAATTTGCAACTCTCCACCGGCAAGTGGTGGCGTCTCCATATGAGTGAAAAATTCTCGAGAGGAACGTTAAACAACAAACAAACAAACAAACAAATCAAGACCAAAAGAAGAAAAGGGCAATTATATTACCTTGGAGCTAACTTTTATCTGAGAAATTTTTAATGAGTTAAGAGTTTTATGAACATGTCCATTGCTTATCAGATTAAAAAATGTTTATTTGATATGTAAGGTAGTATTTACATTGAAAATAAAATGAGGAAGTACCTCGATCTGAACTTTATTTTAAAAAAGGCAATAAAGTCCTTTATATATTTAATGATCTTCCTTCTCGATGCATCTTCGTAACGTCAGGGTCCTGAATCAACTCGTTGCGGAGTTGACTCAGTACCCTCTTGCTGACGATAGAGCATTGATCTTTCACTTGGACGTTAACGAATGTAAAGTATCCACCTTATACACTTTATTACCAACATTAAAAATATGCACAGAGACAGTCGTAAAACAAAGCATCAGAAATAAATAGAATCACCAAAATTATTTTAAGAATACAATCTAAAACTTACCAATCTGAGAATCATAGTCTCCGATGAATCTCTTTGTCATAAAGCGCACTGTCAGAGCTGGAAAAAAAGAAAACCAACGTTATCATTATCTGATGTAATAGTTGTCATTCTAAATCAAAAATGATTATTTTCATGATCCCTTTGGCATGTGCCATATCTGTATCATCACTATAGCTATTTTCCTTGGTTAACAATATACAGGGAGTCTCATTAATCCGAACGCGATTAATCCAGACACCTTCCGGACGACCTTTGTTTGGAACAGAATTAAAATTTATATCTAACAATTATAAAATGTCTATTTCAGTAATCAGGACGATTTGCTTGAGAATAGAAGCAATCGGATTAATGAGGTTTGACTGTGAATACAAGTAAAGTATCTTAAACCTGATTGTTGTTGAGATGAAAATGATTACATACAATAAATGTTTTTGCAAAGTTAGCTTTGTTAAGGCATTGTTTTTTTTTTTTCATCTAGCAAAAAAGAATCCTAATAAATGTTTCCTACTAATTTGAAGTGTGACAGAGAGTTATTTTACCCCAATATTTGCCATGAAACAGACAGGTTAACAAACTCAAACCGACGTGTAGGGAGGTTTTTTTGGCCGATGATGAGTCGCGTGTACATAAAAGGTTTTATTCTTCTTGACAGTTTATATATCAGATCAGTACATTGACGCTGGGTTTTACTTCTTTTTTTTACTATCTGACTAATAATTTCCGAAGATAAATTGCCGTTATTATACTCTTGTTTCAATAAGGAGGAAATGTTTACAACTTAAAACAAAGCTTTAGTACATGTACATAGGTATAAAATAGAGTTCAATGTCTGAGATTGGAATTCCAATCGATGAGTCCTACATTAATGTACCCTTTGTTAATCAGCACAAGTTTGTGAGTGAAAGCTGCCTGTTTAAGCTTTAAAAGCAGCAAAGTAATTAAGCCTCTTATCTTCGTTTTACTACCAACTTGAAAGTTTCTGTTAATGAATTCAAATAATTATAGAACCTTACTTCTAGGTGTCATTAAATATGAGTACTTTATTTTTATTGTAGGTCAATAGCTGAGAATGGAATTATGTTCATGAAATTGTGAAACATAGATGCAGATGAAAATTCTTTTAGAGAATCGATCAATTCTTTTAACATTGTCAAGATAAATTGATCCTTTGACGTTAAATGTATAAGATAATTACATAGAGTATACACAAGTAACATGAACGAATACAATATTAGATAATGCAATAAAGTGAAACAGTATGTAAGTTGATTATTTTTTCTTGCACTAGTTTGATCAACGAAACTGAAGCATGCTTCCCTAGATCTGATTAAAAAGCGTTGAGACAGCAAATTCAGACCATATTATTGAAAAAAACTATACAAAAATTGAAATACCTTTAAAAAATTAAACATTTTTTTCGTTTCATTGAAACTGTTAGACGCATTCTGAAAAATCAAAGCCAAAGGTTAAAGTTTGGGAATTCATGCGAAGTTGATCACCTGTTGTTTGCACTGAGTGGACGTTTATGTTGGGATTATCAGATATTATTACAGCTTTTCCTTTTCTAAGCATTATGGTTCATAAATAAACTTAGGGATTATCTTTGCATCCTGAGGGAAATTCTCTAAAGTGTGCAAAACGTGGTCTCAAGGCCGGGAAGCGGAACCATTAAATGAATGCAGCTGCTAAGAAAGCATTGTTATTAGGCATTTAATCGGTTAATTACATCCATTAATTATCACTAACATAGAAGAAGTACATGTAGTTAAGAAATTCCTTGTACAAAAACTTGATGCAGTCAGGCCCCAAGACCATAAACTGAGAACAGACTTAAGTCAAAATTTCGAATCAATATAACTTTTGAAATTATTTTCATAACGAAACAAAATTTTCATCATGTGTTTAAATTAGAATACTTTACAAACCTGCCAGTTTTTAAGTACATATGTTAAATAAAACTCAAGATATTCAAAATCAAAATTTTGACTTACGTCTGTTCTCAGTTTATGGTCTCTGACCCTGATGACGAAATAATGTTGACAAATCGCTTTTCTGATAAGCCATTTTTAGTAACAATGAGATTTGGGAATACTAGTATTCACACATTTCATGGTCTATTAATTGTAGTGTGGATTTCTTCAAAGCCATGTGGACATTTTCAATTTTACTTTTTAATTTGAGCTTAGAAAATAGTTCAGTAGTACGATAATAAATACACCTGTCATAAAAAATATTGACTTTTTATGAAAAAAGGAAATACTTTTTAATTGCCAGACTTCGAACTTGGTGTTGCCTCAAGGAAGTTTAAATTCATGATTTCAACACATGGAAGTTTGGCCTTGAAAAATTAATAAGCGCTATCAAATAAAAAAATTGGAACATGCTTTACGTCATACACACGATGTTTTTAGAAATTTTCACACATTTCATTACATTTAGATGATAATTTATGAGTTTTACATTTTAGAAATGTTCATGTTTCCTATATTTCCTTCCTCCTTTTACGTGCAGAAAGAAGCAGAAAAAAATCTGTGTCCTCATTTCTTTAAACATAACTACAGCAGAAGAGTTTGGAAGAAAACTTTATAGTTTGTAGAATCTGCTTACCTAAATAAGCGTTTGCACCCGTTGCTGGATACATGAATACGGATATATAGTCGCAATCCCGAGAATGTCTGCTATTTAGACATCTATCTCTTATATCTCTAAGGATTATCTCATATATTTCATCATAATTTCGGCATTAAAAGCTTTTCCTAGAAATATTTGCAGAGAAACTCAGTAACCTTCTTTTCTTCTCAATTACAATGGACACTTGTCTTTCCAAGATTACAATGCTGGTATTTGCATTGCTAAAAATACTGTTCTTTGAACAGTTTGTTGCAGTGCGAATGCCAGCAGTCAAGAATGATATTGTGTTAATTTCTCGGGTATCGGAAAAGAACAGTTGTATAATCTTTTTTGAATTTCTGATTTCAAAAAGTCAAGGCAAATATTTAGTTCGGTATCATATTACATGTATTTGAGTATCAAAAGCAAGATGAATTCATTATATATATATATATATATATATATATATATATATATATATATATATATATATATATATATATATATATATATATATATTGTATTACATTCATGACCCGACTCCCAACCCCAAAACTTAAAACAAGGACTATTTTAGACGACTTCAGAAACACGGTTTAATTTTCTTTCTGTTCATATTACAATAACCTAGCTTCTAATACCTACTTTCTGACTTGAAGTAATAAATGAAACTTAAGATGGCATTGACAGACGAGCTCCCTTAATCCTCAGTTAGATGACGATGATAAGGTTGATGATAAGGGAGATGACAAACAAGACTAAATTAATTCAAACTGTCTATCACGTAACACACTCGCCCATTATTTATTTCACTTGTAGATCTCAACAAAACTTAAGCCAGCTGTCGGATTTTAGATAACAACTGTTTCAATGGATGATTAGGAGCAAACTGATACGAAAATTGCTGATGAGGCAAATTGCCACTAAATTGATAACGGTTGATTGTGATCATTCAGAAGTCATGATATCATGACATTATTTCCTTATAACAGTCTTTGAGTAAGAAAAACGTTCAATGTTTTTTTTTAAAATATGAATGTCTCAGTTTCCTGATACCAATTGACTATGTTGGCTTTTACATTGTATATATAGAATAACACTTCTCTTTAATAACAAAAATATGTCGTCGGAAATCAAAAATTAAGAAAGTAAATAACTTTTGATTGCATATACATGTTAATAAGCACAATTATTCAATACGGGAAAAAAACCCAACTTTCATATATTATTGTAAGCTGTAGTTAATAATAATTGAAAGTACATATGTAAGAACGTTTTGTTTCTTTCTTTCTTTTTTTTTTTTGCCTTTTAGTACAAAACAGTATTGTACCTACATTCCAACATTCTTTTTTTTATTAATTTTTGTTCATAAAGTTATCCAAATAATTGAATTACTTTATTCTGAAAACAAAAGTATGTACTTATATATGTGGAAGGACCTCAATTTTCTAATCTCGATATGTTATTTTAGGCGTGTGTTTTTCCGACCATATCTTAATTTGCATCATTTAAACTCGATGGGATTATGCTGCATCTTCAAATTTTTTGTTTTAAAAACTATTTTTATCGTGCATAGTTTTACAGCACTGCTGAATAGGGCTACTTTTGATCAAATCTTGTTCAAACTAATCTGTGTTGTGATTTAGAAACCGTCGAAAAACAAACTTCAAACGATTTGAAAATAAAACGCGAAAGTCGATGCAGCTATTTGAATGGGATTAAGAAGGAGCAGAGCCGATGTTCCGCACAGTTATTATTTATCTTTGAAAAGTGCTTACTCATTTAGGACAGCCCTTGAGCAGAGATAGTATTGCCATGATGAACAATTATACATAGGTCATAGACCACCTGCCGAGTTAAGCAAATCTAGATACTTAGACAGAAAAGACCCTGTAGTGTTTGTTTTGAAAATGAAGTTTTCAACCTGAAGATTCTTGCAAAAAGAAGAGGTTAAAACAACAAAATCATTTAAAATCTGCAAAATGTTAAAAGAGATCCGTGCAACTCATTGCGTTCAAGGTACAGATATTATATCTGTTATCACAAGCAAAAGATGTCAAATATCAAGGAGGAGTGTACAAATGGCACGTGGAAACGCCTTTACAAAGATTGCAATCAGTGGATTTAATAATGATTTCAATTATGTTTTTTGTCTGCCTTGAAAACAGGAACTTTTCTGTTGCACATTTTTTTCATTATCGTCAATATCAGTTTTAATAGGTATCCGTTTTATGGGAGAATTTTGATTTTTTTTTTCGCTCATAAAGAGGCTTGAAACTTCAGTTTAGAATGTAACATTAATTTGAACAATAAATGCCATTTATATTTCAAATTATCACAGCTTATAAAACTGCATGATAGTTGTTATTTTATATAGAAAACCTTTTTTCCTCTCAAAAATATTTGATGATTTTATCAGCATCAGTTAAATGCCGAAGCTATCTGTATTGATCAGTGACCATTAGAAAATATTAATAAGACTAATCTCGAATATATGTTGAAATATTGTACGCATTTTCATGTGCATAGACTTTTATAAAATAAAATAAAATAAAACACTTGCCAGATTTTCCTACTCCTTTGACTCCAATAACTACAATATTTATATCCTTTCCTGTGTGATGACCTCCCTTTGGTAGCCTGGAGTCATCCATTTCAGGCTTGGGGTCTTTATCAAGATGACTTGAAAAAGGCATCCGGCATTATTTATTGAGACTAAAATAATTTTGAATTGTAAAAGTAATGCATCCGCTTTTCACAAAATAAGTAATTTTTACTAACACCAATTTCTATAATTGCATCACATTGCGTCGCATTGGCATTGAATATCCATAGATACAGATTGGACACTGGCGACAGTTTGGTAAATTTTCGCAATTAAAATTTGTTTTTCAGGACAATCTGTTTGAATTCAAGTAAATTCCCATTGCAGATGAAAGCAGTTTCAGCTGCTTTAATGTAAATGCAATTGACATCATGTAGAATGTGCCAGGCTTTAGGTACAACTATCTATGAGAACGAGCTTGGTAGCGAACGTTCTTTTCATCGTCTGCTTTTAACGTTGTGACATTCGCAACTGAACCTTTACCCACTTACACCTTTTAATGAATCCCCCTCACTGCGCAGACGATAGGATTACCACTGACTGTGAGAGGCAAATAGTTGTGGTGGAAGGATCGGGTTATCCGGTTGTTTTATAAAAACAACATTTTCAACTCTGGAAAATTCGATTTATCGTTATTTATTTTTAGGACGAGATATCGTATGGAGCAAATTATATTCAAATTAATGATGACTAGTATAGATAAGATGAGAATCGAAGGGTGATCTCAAAAACTAGATGAAAAAAATGTTACATCATACAGTGTTGTTCATGTAGTTATTTGAAAAGGAAACAGTGCTTGCCAACATTTTAAAAAAAAGTGTAAAATGTCCGCCAAAAATTAAAACAAAAAGCCCACGAAAGGAAAAGAGAAGATCATTTTCTTATTTAAAAATGTCTAAATTTTTCAAAATAAATTATTTATTTTACTAAATTTATGGAATTTAAAATAATTAAGTTTGCTTTGTCTTCTTCCTTTCATACAACTCCACATATAATTATGTCACTGATATTTTCTTGGTGTGATAAATTAGACGCAATTTTGTTACTATGGCAGAAAGACGTCTTTTATCCAAACTTTTTGACCCGATTTTTAGATGCAAAATACTAATTATTCAGATCAGTTTCTAAATAGAATGAATTCAAAATGATTTTGTTAGAAGTCTTCCTTCATGTAGACCTTTAACTCTTAGCACTTTTAAAGCATTTCAAATTCTGTTTAATTTAAGAAATAATGAAAAGTAAATTTTATACTTATAGGATAAAGGATAATAAATAAGTCCTTAAGAAATGAACGTTTTTAATGCTGGAAGATTACATGCATGTGTAGATGCAGAGAAATCTGAAGCATTCGTTCACAAATAAAATAATATACATATACTTTTTGACATCTCCTTAAGTAGATAACATATTAAGTGTGTAAGCCGAAAGTGAAGTTCTAATGTAAGCTGTCATTCCAGCTGGCAAATAGTGATTGGCAAGTATTCTATTTATTACCTAATGGTAAGGCAATAAAGACTGGCGATCTGATGATGAAATTTCTAATTATATGATTGTTTTTTGATAACTAAAGAATTGCCAAACCAATAGGAACTGAAAGTTAAACACCAAAGGAAAAGACTTTGAAACACGCCGCTTATTATTAAGCATTACAATGGCTATAATCTAAAACTTAGTCAATCCAATTCTGAGATACAAGTTGGACACTAAAAATTAATAAAAATGCTTTTAGAATTTATCTTTTTGTCCAACTTTAATAGCATTTGAAACTTGCACATTACTTGTCTGCTAAATTCATTTATCATGGAAAAATTATTTGGCCAAAGTAGGTTTTTCATTCCCCAAATTGGAATTTTCTAAAGCTTTAAAACTTGCAAAAAAACCTAAAAACACTTTTTACAACAAACTAAGTCTCTTCTTTGTATCCCATATATTGTATGTGTACTTAAAAAAGCGGGCTTCATATTTTAGCGGCTTTGGTGCAGAAAAGGATGCGCTAATTCATGAATACCGCTAAGAAATCATTTACTAATACAATACACGGCACGGAAATGTGTAGCGCTAATTCATGATTACGCCAACTACTCCATACTCCTTGATTGCGCTAAATTTTGAATGCGCCAATTTATGTACACGTACAGTATTTTTGATATCTCGATCCCTTATTTCTGATATGAAGTCTGGAGAAGTATACTCTAGATAAGGAACGGCCTCTGACTGGTAACTTGAAATAGCAGAAATTTAAAAGCAAAAATAACAATAACACAATATATCAGACATTGTGGGACAATGCATAATAAGATATATGAATCTCAAAAATAAATAAAGTCACTTCTAAGATATGCTGATAAAAACAAAACCCATCTGTAACCATTTTAACCATCGCAAATTAATTTTTAGCCCCTTTTATACAATGGATAAGGTGAAGATAACGAACAGAGATCGACCTCAGAAAAATCTACAAACAATACAAATATGTAAACAGGACATAATTAAACACGGATCCCCAGAAAGTCCAGAGGTGAGATCAGTTGCCTATAGGAGGGGTTGAGGGCACATTAGCCCATGAGCCGTATGTATTGATCAGGTGGAAGGAACATTCCTTGGACAAATTTAGTGTAAAACCAAAGGCCTAACAATTGGTATGAAATATGGTAGTCAAAATACAATCCAGTGATAGACTATGTTAACTAAGCCGTTATAACGACCATAGAATTTACGAAATCCTGACATTAAACGAGGTTGTTGAAATCCTGTCACATCAAAGTATCTGTCAGTAGCCTGTATCGGTTTAAATATTGATCGTATTCAGGACATGCTCTTGAGTATCAAATAAGTTGGGGGACGTAAACACCACATGTAGATAATAGCGGAATATTAATACATAGATAAGGAAAGTTGACGATGCAAAAGCTGAAGTCATCTCATTTTTAATACCATTTAGTTGTTAGTAGGCCCTTATCGTCTATTGTCAGTAAAGCATCCAAACATGAAACAGATGTGACAGACTCTGTGGTGACTTTATTTCAAATTCACTGGGATATATCAAGATAGATGAATGGAAGTAACTATAATTGTTAATTGATACTACGTCGTCGATTTATCTGAATATCGAGCTAACGGCAACAGTAAATGTTTTCTACATGTACTACTCATATAGAAGTTTTTGAATAAATTCTGCCTCATTCTAATACAAAAGCAGGTTGGCTAATAAAAGAGCACAATCAGGTCATTCGAAATACCAGCAGATTGGTGGAAGTCCAGTAGCACTTTTCACAAAAAAAATTGTCCGAGTGATTATTACGATTTTATTCCTTTTCACAAAATTATTACCAGATTCTTATGTGTAAACTTTGTCGTAACTTTACAAGAGCTTTAACCCTCTCATAAGTATCTTAGAGCCAGTCTTAATTTGATAAAATAAGATAAAACCACGTATAAATGAACTTTTTACACGCATCCCACAAAATTTCTCAAATATTGTCAAACAATAAAATGAAATGATAGCTTCTCTTAAGATTATCGTATGGCCTACTTTTTATAAAAGAACGTGATTGTGACGTCCTATTTCAAACTTCCTTGCCTCACAATCGATTTTACTCAGTTTGTGTTTCACTTACAAGTGTTAAAAACTTGACTTTATTTCGATTCTCAGCCTCTCTTTAATGATAATAAGGCATATTGAAATCGTTGCTATGGAGGATGTCTGTCTTTAGTAAAATCTTCAATTCAATCTGTCTGTCTTTAGTAAAATCTTAAGTTCAATCTGATACGAACGCGCTCGTAAAAAGCACTTAAGATTTTTTGTTTTTTTGTTTGTTTATTGTTTAACGTCCCTCTCGAGAATTTTTCACACATATGGAGACGCCACCACTTGCCAGTGGAGAGCTGCAAATTTTTTACCTATACTCGTCACTTAGGGCCATTGAGCAGTGAGGGATCTTTTTCGTGCCAACACCTACTGCGACATGGGACCTCGGTTAATACGGTCTCATCCGAAGGACCGGTCTCCACGTCCCATAGTGGGATTCGAACCCGCGACGTAAGAATCAACTCCTTACTCCGCGACTCTAGAGCGAACGCTCTAATCACTGCGCCACGCGGGCGACTAAGATTTTTCGTAAAAGATTCTTATGTTAAAATCTTAGCAAAAACTTCAGATAATTTGAGAAAAGGGCTACTGGTCTCCAAAGACTACATAAATGATTCTATGAGGAACTCGAGCATCCTTGAAATGTCAATTTCATAGTACTTCTGTTTAAAATCAGAGTAACCCTAACCCAGATTCGAAAACTTCCGTATCCCAGTTTTCCAGTCAAAATCAAAAAGCCTGATTTTTTTTTTATTTATCGCGAGGAATGCTTGTATAAAGTGTAGAAAAATTTATCTTTATGATGCTATTTACATTAGAGAAAATGATGATTTTAAATTTTCTAAAACTTCTTTGGTGTTTTTAAAAATCGATTATGTTCTATAATATGCTGTAATACAGTAAGTCTGAAATTTCTTCTTTGCAGCAATTAACATTTTGGTAAGGAAAATTGATATTGTCTTGGTTGTATAGAGAATTTGCTTGACCCGGCAATGTACCTTTGTCTTTTATGAAGTGTAGGAATAAGAAATAGGTTAGGTTGAACTCACCTAGGTTGCCTGGAATGTATTAAAAGTATTGAAAACTCATATATGATTTTGGAGAACTTCTTCCTTAGAAAATCATTTAATCTTTTTTTCTTATTCAGTTTAGGCTGACGAATGCAGAACGAAAGATAACCCAAACTGAAGTGTATCTTGCGGTTACTAGTTCCAAATACATGTACCATAATAAGGCGTGAGTAGCCTCTACGTAATATCAGAGAACCGCTAAAAGTGTAAATGATTGACAAGAAAGAATAGATGCATCGAAAGGCATGATACTTTTGTTATTTCGCATGTTTCTACCTTGCCCTATATTCTTTGCAACAAAATACAGCTAAGATCATACAATATTAGAACGACAATTATTACATAATTTGTATTTAAAAGACTGGATTTAATTTCACATAACTCAAAATCCACCAAAAGAAACTTTCTAGCAATTTTGAGTAGGTGACTATAAAAGATATTTTTCCCTTATGAAATGTATAAAATCAATTAAATCCTGTGGCTGCTATAGAAATCCAATCATGGCAAATACAAATCCTGGTATGCCATTATTTTCCTGATTAAAAAAATATTTAAAAAACGCTAAATAATGTATTATGATGATCTTTCAGAAAAATGATATGATCACGAATCAAAAACTCTTCAATTTCAGAACGTTATAGCCGTCACGGTAGCTCAGTCGGTAGAGCGCTCGCTCCGTGATCGGAAGCTAATGTGGTCGAATCACAGCTGCAACTGACCTTAGTCGATAAAAAAAATAGGTAGCAACTGTTCCTTCGCCAAGCGCTCGGAACTTTGAAGTGAAAGTTGCGGGTCCTTCGGATGAGATCTTAAAAACCGAGAACCGTGTCACGGTAAGCGTTGGTACGATGGTGTGTTCCCCGAACGGCTACTCGCCAAAACCAACAAGTTATTATCACACTCAATTTAGAGGCCCTCTATGGGGTATTGGTAGATTTACCTGGATAACCAATATTTGGTAAATCAAATAAAAATATGAAATGTCATTTTTTTCCATTCAAAATATTTTTTAAAACACCCAAGATTTAATAAATAAATTTAAACGAAAAAAATTTCAAAATGTTATCAAAACATACTTTATACATTGCTTTGTATTATTGCACTTTTAATATCATTGTACCTTTAATGTTTTTTTTTTCAAACTGTTAAATACTATTGATGGGGAATTTTTTGAACTTGAAGTGGGGGTCCAACTTTTTCTCAACTTTTTAAAAAAAAATACATTACTTAATCTCCATGCTTAACTGCCACAAGAAAAAGTGTGACAGTATATTGTCATGTTTAAAAAAAAAAAAGGGGGGGGGGGACAGCTCTGCCCCCTGAAACTTCGTGCCTGGAAATTATTACTTGTCAAGGTATTTCCTCTTTCCCGTCATATGTTTTAGCCAAAACTGTTATTAATTAATTAATTAATTAATTAATTAATAATTTAATTTTTACCCAGTAGAAATACATCTTTTGGAAGAATGCTTTGCAATAGGCGTAAGGAAAAAAATATTTTACGAAAATAATTTTAAAAATGAATACTTTCTTTATTTAATCAACAACCCACTCTTTAGAGAATGTTGCTTAGGGCAAGAACTCCTTCTCATGTATCTTTTATTTATTGTTTTTTTAATGTAAAATGGTTCCTTGATATTCACAGTTCAAATTACATATTTACAAAGTAACAATTATTTTGGACCTTTAGCATCAGAACCTATTTGGAAAGTGACAATTATTTTGGAACTTTCAGCGTCCGAATTATCCATACGAACCAGTTTTAATATAATTTTTTAAAATGTTTACTAAAAATGTGCGGTTTTTTACGCTGAACATACACTTTTGTTTTTTATGTCTCACGTCTTAGAAGAAATGTGGCAAATTATATATCTTTTGGGATTATTGATTAATTATTATTATATGCAGTGAAAATAAATGCAGTTTTTCTACGTATAACCCCAAAAATTGTGAGGGTAGAAATACCTTAGATTTCATTTTATTAAATTTCATTAGGTATAAATTAAATCATGTACACGACGGTTTCCGACCACAAGAGTTAAGATAATATGTAGTCAGTTACGTTATAAATAATGTAATAAATGTTTAGTTATCAATCATATTCAACGTATAACTTAATTTGGATATCTTTTTAAAGATATATAATTGAACCAAACTCATTGATTTATTGTTTTTAGACTTATTATTGCATAATCAAATATGATTATCTGCATCAAAAATTAAATCTACAGAAGTGGCAAAATATCAGATGGTATGGAAAGATGCAAGGTTGGGCTAACCACAAATACAGAATATCAAGTTTTACACATAGCTAATGCATAATTTACATTTTTTAAAAAAAATATTTAAATTCAATTATTCAAATTATTTGGCTTCAAAACTTGAATGCAAAAACATTGTCTCAGCAACAATGTGATATGAAAATAATATCATTTGACACATATCTAATTAATAAAAGAGTAAACATGGGATGAAAAAAATATCCCCTAGTTTTACAAGTTCACATGCATTTTTCCTTGCCTTTTCATGATATCGATACAATTTGCTAAAACATAAATCCCGTTTAATTATTTCACTCAGTTCTAAAGGCTCATTCTCTATACATATATCACAAGAATGTGTACATGCATCAGAATAATATTCACATACATTGTTTTCTATTGTATTGTTTTCTTGCATATGTAACCGAAATTGTTAAGATTACAATCATCATCTGCCCACTTGAAGTCTAAGTCTTTGTGCATACAGAGGCAATCGTCATCGGAGGAAATGTTATCAGGTTGCGATTGTCCCCAGTCTGAGAAATTAAACTGGTCTCCACTCCCTATCCAGGCCCAGTCTCCCTCGATCACATTATCTGTTCCTCCAATCCATATTGTATCTAAAAAATGGAATTTGAAAAATATTTTAAGAGTATCTGCTGTTTAAAAGCGTAAATGCTAATGTAACAAATCGATGTTATTAGGTGCCCGAATGATACATATAGCAGTTGCAACAATATTTTCTACCTTGGGTAATTTCGAAAGAAAGCATATTGAACACGTTAAGGAGTAAACCTTTAATTTTCCAGGAAATGGTTTATTTTATGAAGCATCTCTTTTGATAATACCGTAAATCTGGAAAGTTTTACTGTAAATAAATTTTTAGCAAATTTGCATGTGCATTGCCTTCGCAAATATATTTTTCTTAAGGTCAGACGACACGTTCCTCAAAAATATATAATTTTCCCCAAGAATATGTCATTGAAGTATTGCAATTTTAATAAGTTTCCTCACAAAAATGTGAGGTACCTTATCAGGCATTTCTGCAAGATACCAGAGGTTGATGTTTCTTATATAATCCTTTAAGAAATAGCTTGAGTTTGCCATAATCACAATTTTTGGTGTACTTATTCTTAATGACCTTTTCAAAACAGTTTAGAATTCACAAGAGAATGGCAATTATCAATGTTTTTGAAACAGTACAAAGAGATACAAATTAGATATTTGAAGAACCTGTCGTCAGACCTTAAAAATGAATAAAAAAAATGTAAACTAAAATTTTGCTGACTGCTGATGTCTATTTTTAACTCGGTGAACAGGTGTTCGTAAGCAGTGGTCATTTTAAGAAACCTGTTTACACTACAAGCTAATTACCCGTGATAATCTGTGAGTGGAAAGTGTCTTTACTACATTCAATATTGTATATATATTGTATGTAATTCAAGTTCAAGTTCTTTCTTTCTTTGCGTCATACGACACATCAGATTACATATATTAATAACTAAACATATATACAATATTGTAAAATATAACAATATGAGAGTGAGCATAATCAATAAATAGCAAGTAAACTATGTAGGACGTGTTTTCTAACAGGCTACTGTAATTATAAAACACTTAAAAATTTACAAATGTTTCAGTCATCTAGTGGAAGCTTGATATAAATATTTTCCAAGGTTACAAAGTTCCTTTTATATTTTGTACACTTTGATATGATAAACAGGACATTGTAAAATAAAGTGAAATTCGTCTGCGATAACATTCGAAGAGCACATTTTACATAATCTGTTTTTTCTAATTTCATTAACATATCTACCAGTTTCAACATTTAGATTATGTGCAGATAGTCTAATTCTAGCAATTTGTATTTTGTACATATAATTAATAGGTTTACGCAAGTAATATTGTATACCAAAATTATCAACCAAATGTTGGTATAGCGGGCTACGGGCATTGTTACAAATATTAGAAATCACGGTATGATTATTCACCTCAAGGAATCTTTGTTTTACTAACATATAAGTATTATTATTGAAATCTGCATCAAATATATAGCCAAGTCCCAGTTTATTAAGTTCATTTTGAATATCTCTGATCCAAATATCATTATTCTTTAATCTTTCTAATTCAATATTACCTAGACACTTTTTTTCTCTTTTTATGTACACGGTAGAGAATGTTTTTACCTGAAGGTTAGTTAAAGCTGACATCGTTTTATATATTTTATGTACATGCGTGATTTAATGTCATGAAAACTTTAAATAGTTTAGATTTTTTTATCTCAAAAATATATAATTTTTCCCAAGAATATGTCATTGAAGTATTGCAATTTTAATTCTAACAAGTTTCCTCACAAAAATTTGAGGTTTCTGCAAGATACCAGAGGTTGGTGTTTCTTATATAATCCTTTAAGAAATAGCTTGAGTTTGGGTAATTTATGTACATGCGTGATTTAATGTCATGAAAACTTTAAATAGTTTAGATATTTTATCTCTTCTTATATTTTTTTATTTGATTATTGAAAGTTGGCATCGTTTAATATTGTATGTACATGCGTAAATTATAATTTGATTATTGAACGTAAGCATTGTTTAATATTGTATGTACATGCATAATTTATTTTATTTACATTCGTAGCTTATGGACTGTATATATATATTAAGCGCTTTTTAATTTTACCGCCAATGACAATTCGCAAAATTTTGAACATAAACATTAATCCCCAGATTCGCAAAAATAAATCGACGTAAAAATTTCCAGATTAACGATATTTGTAAGAATATCATGGCGACCTCTCATTTCCATTGCAAGTTCTTTAATAAACTGATTTTCCTCTGCGCTTCCAATTTCCACAAGAGTTGCGTTTCGGTCAAAGCAGGAAAACTGAAATAGATGTAGAATAAATATGTAAAAGACTGCCATGAACCTACTTTTGAGTTTTTATTGGATTTTTAAAAATATAAATTGGAATGACGAATAAGCATTTTATGATTAGCAAATTTCAATATAAACCACAAAACAAAAGTGGACCAAATTTTCATGCAATTCAAGACGGCAGTTTAAATAGACAATATTTTGGAAAAGGACTGATAGGAAACACACAGGCTTGTATGAAGCGATTTCATTTGGGGAGGGGGAGGCACAACTTAACAGACATTCAGTAGAAGTTTTGAGAGGAATGTCATCAGACCTTTCCTGTAGACCAAAAACGTAAATTAGCTTTGTTTTCTAATTTATAATATAAAGTATATATTGGCAAAATAATTGAGAAGATAAAACCGGTATTCCACAGTAAATTATACATATACTGGCAAATTAATGGAGGGGGGGGGGGGCACATCCCTTTGCCCCTTTCCAGGTAACCACGGACTAAACACAGGTGATACTTTGAATATATATACGGAGATATAAATCTTGAAACTGCACACATACATATGTAAATGCTTTGTAATTAAAGGATTATTTGTATATAACAACGAAGCTAAAAATAACAATTATATATAATAAGTAAAGTACTTATGTTCAAGATATTTTCAGTGATCTCCCTTCTTTTTTGTATACATACTAACATGGTACTTTTATTCCAGTAAATGTAAATAATAATCACACATATATATTCGTGATATTTGTACAGTGGAATTATTATAAAGAATTTGAATCCAGATCAGATTTTAAGATTATTTCAACAAGTTTTCTTACTTGTGCAGCAAAAAATGATTCCTTCATGGGATCCATAAGATATAGAGAAGTTCCGAAACACCGTCCCTCTCTTATTTCTAAACGTAATTTAAAAAGTGAGTTATCATTCAGGTTTTTTATGTCTAAAATAAATTAACTTCTGACTCATCATCATTATCATTAGAATGATCATTTTCATAAATTTGGGTTATTGATAAATATATGTTTGAAAGGGAAGCATATTGAAATAAGCTAATTCAGAGAATTTGTCTCCCCCGCTTACGGTAAAAAAAAGAGCATGCGATATAAAGATTTGATTGCTTATTCTTGAATATGTGTTTACAAGATTCTTTTATATAGAATATTTATAACACTGAAATAATGATTTTATGAGTTTGTACACACCAGACGTCATAACTTTTTCATTTCATATGTTGAATACTATCATTTAGTAAATCAAAAAAAATTTAAAAAAGGGATCGTCCGAGATTTGAACCCTGGACCACTCACTTGCTGAACAAGAATCATACCCCTAGACCACAGAGGCACATGATAAAACATCAAATTAAATGCAAACATTAGGTCACATATAATGTTTATATTCACGTTCGATATTGTCAAAATTTTACACAATACATGGTGTCTAATTTAGCCTTTACTAAACAGTTCTAGTAGATGTAATTAGAAGATGAAGTCCGCCGACAACCTGTTTTATATGTAATAACTCTCCACATGCCCCTGTGCTAAAAATAGTACCAAGGGACTTTGAATACAATAAATAGAAAAAGGGGCGGGACACTTTGAGAGGGGCTAGAGAGGGCATAGGGAGTTATGGTATAAAATTTCATTGCAAAAGCTCAAAAGCTTCTTGAGATATCGCCAGGAAACGAAAGTGTTACACACAGGCAGAATGTATGAATTTACGACCTTGACCTTTGATCTTTTGACCTCAAAATCAATAGGGGTCTTCCATAGGCCACAGGGAGTTGTTATGTAAAATTTCATTGCAAAAGCTCAAAGGATTCTCGAGATATCGCGCGGAAACGAAAGTGATAAACAGACAGAATTTATGAATTTATGACCTTGACCTTTTGACCTTAAAATCAAAAAGGTTCTTCTTTAGGCCATAGGGAGCTGCTATGCAAAATTTCATTGCGAAAGCTCCAAGGGCTCTCAAGATATCGCTCAGAAGTGAGTGTTACAGACAGGCAGAAATACAGACGGACGGACAGCTAGACGGAAGGACAGACAGACCCAAATTAATACCCCCCACTTTCAGTGAAAACGGGGGGGTGGGGGCAAAAAATGAACAATTTCTTTTATCATATTCGTACTGCATGTGCAAAAAATATTTTTATGCAATACATTATCAAATTAGAACGAAATACAAATTATCATCGTTTAATTTGTGCTTGTCATTCTGTTTTATGTACTAATAACCAATTAAGTTAACTCCTACCTGCGCCGTTTTTTGAGTAATGCACATATCCAAGGCTCAAATAAAGATCTTCCGTCTTGAGTCCCATGGCAGTCTTACAAGTCATTGATATTTTATTGTAGAAAAAAGAACAACAACCGAATTGCTCTGAACATTTAGCGCCACAAGTAGACAACGTTTTAATGTCGTTATATTCGTAAAAGATATAGGATGGTGGTGGAATCATATCGTCATTTCCAAAGAGTCTTTGGAATAGTGTTTCTGCGGTTATTAAATATATCATTCCTGGACTATACAATATTCCAAAAATGGAGATCCAAAAAATATTATCCATCCTATTCGTGTTATCAAAGGAAATGAAATGGCAGCATACGATAACGATTATCTGGTAATTATAATTTGCTTAGAATACTTCATATTTGTATGAAAATGCAATCTTTGATTCTTTGTTTGGATAATTTGATTTTGTTTATTCATTGAATTTACACTATTGATTAATCAGGTACTTTCTCAAAGATAGGTTGTGTATTTAAATCGTTTTGTTTACAGTTTGTGAACTTCTAGTTTATGTAAGAAAAGCATTGAATTGTTACTCTTTTCTCGGGGCAGTGTATCTTCTCATTAAATAATTGCCCTTTTAGGCGAAACTTTTTTGTCTTTTGCTCTCACATTAGATTTGCACAACAGCACAACAAATATTTAAACGAACCCTTGAAAATAGCCAAACCAATCACTTGATTTACATGTATCTGTACACATCAACAAATGTGCACAACTTAAGATAGGTCCCTAGTAGAATGACGTTATCATGATACATACATTGTAGCATATGCATTGCACATGTCATATTAAAACAGTGATTATAGACTATGCACATTTTATAATATAATTTTTCCCTTATAACCAAAAAATCTATTGCTTTTTAAGGAAACAAATGAAGAAACTTAGGCCTTTTCTGAAGAAACATGATTCAATGATATGATTTTTAGGGTAAAGATGATTGATCAATATGGGGGTATACATACAGCTTTTAGATATTGTAATTTTGAATTCTACATTTGGTATACTTTCCCTTGGAATTTTCATTTTTGGCAAGTATTAAATAACACTCTTACTTATTATGAATTTCCAAATTAATATCTGATAAATAAAAAGATTTTACAGTTAATTTGCATGAATATTTCATTGAGAACTGCCGACTATTGATTTTGGTTAAAATCGTGTGATTAAAGAAGGGGTGTAAATCTTTAAGAAATGCTGGTAATAGAAACTAGTCCAGACATGTATTTTATTTGATTTTCAATTACCTAAGATGTTATTCTAATAATTCCAAGAAACATATGATTGCATTAACCCAGATAATGTCGAGTAGGGACATACCTAAAATTATCTCTGACAAGGATTTTTCGGAATTATTTGATTTAGACATTCCGACAACAGAATGAAATTAAAACAAGATGTGTTTGTGAAATACCTATACCCCGTAATGCAGCTCAAAGCCAAGGTTTAAGTTTTTTTAAATGTAGCTCAAACTCTAATGCCAAGAGGTCAAAAATGTTGGTATACAAAAAGAGCGTTCGTATTATAAGAAATACACTTGTGAAATATGAAAGCTCTAGCACCAACCATTCAGAAAATATGGTTAAACTTTTTTAAAAGAAGTTCACACCCAAAGGTCAAGGTCATGAGGTAAGAAAAATATTTGGTAATAAAGAAAAGGTCTTGTCAAAAGGATAACATATGTTAAATATAAAAGCCTTAACACCAACTATTCAAAAGTGATAGTCAAGGTTCATTTTTTTTTCAAAAGTAGGTCTAACTCCGAGGTCAAGAGATCAAATACGTTGGTACCCAAAGAAAGAACTTCTCACAAAAAATACACATGAGAAATATGATAGGCGTTGCATTAACCATACAAAAGTTATGGGCAAGATTTAAGTTTTTGCGGACAAATAAATAGATTTACATGCAGACACAGAAAGACAGATTGATGAATAGACCAAAAACTATATGCCATTGAATCTTCAATTACAGGGTCATAAAAACAGTCTTAAGTCATAAATGCAATTATTCTAATCAGTGGACGTTATCAAGAGTATTTTTTCATGTCAACCAAAAAAATATTTATATTTGACTGTGTTTTGAGATCTTTTAGCAAATAAAAAGAAGGATATCTAATAAGTATTAAAGTAATTCTGTCAAGACATGTGTTAAATTCATTTTCCCAATTTCCAGTAATTATCAAATTTTTATTAAAAAAGATTAAATTATCCTAGGGAAGGTTCATATACCAAGTGAGATGGTGATCGTATAAACATGAAATATATTAAAACGAAAATCTCTTTTATTAATGTGTGGTCAACTGGCTTCACTATTTACTAACTTTTAGCAAATAAAAATTTGTTTGTATCGTTATATAGCATCTTTGAATTGGCAATAGCGAATAAACGTTAATTATCGAATTCATTCATGTTTCATTTAATGTTGTTAAGGATGACATCTCATCAATTCCACACTATTTGCTTTGCATTGTTTGTGGAAGTTTGTGATGACCATTGAGTAGGTAAACTTTACATATTGATTTTGATTGAGCTAGTAGTTTTCTTGAATAGAAAGGTCTTTTAATTCTTTGTCATAATTCTTTCAATAGCTGATCTCTAAGATATATATTACATTAATCTATCATTTTGGTAACATCCAATGCATCTTGGATAATTAGAAAGTATCTTTTTTTAGATTCAGTAAAAGATATCTGATTATCTTCTTAATTCATTTTGTTTGTTTGACTTTGGTTTATGCTTTTTACACCTCGTTTTCCTTTCATCATCTTTAACGTTGCAACCATTGACCTAAAAAAAAAAAACAAACCTTACTTTCGTTTGGATTTTTTTATTCTTTATTTCATTCTTGCAATTAGTATAAATGGATAGTTGTAGACTTGGAATAGATATCATGGAATTCGGTTTCTAATGGATTAGGTGTTACACTTGATAAACTATTTAAAGACATATTTAATTTTTATAAATCTACAATTTAGTTTCAAAATGTTATCAAATCTGAAAAATCCCCAGTTTTTAAGAAATGGGAATAAGAAAGGTTTATAACATGGAGTGAGATTTTAATTAATTGTGTTTCTTGTTTAGAAAATTCTCAAATAGCAGCTAAACAGACAATTTGGATAAGGCTAAAATTGATTTATGCTCGAAACATTAGAATGTTAAAAGGAAAAATTCTTACATTTATCATTAAAAGGTGTCAATCAAGGCACTTAATTTGTGTATAATACTGATTCAAATACATGTAGTTTATGATAATATACACTGCAATTCTTTGTCACAGCTTATATTCTAAAGAGAGGGAATGAAGTTAAATATTGAGCTTAATAAGAACATTAATAACAATAATTATGCATATCCTGAATATTTTCTTCTTTATTTATTATGAAAATTACTTCCCTTAATCAATCATTAACACTTAATTAGATAGAAATGGGTTTTCAAAGCCACTTGTATGAAAGTTTTTTTCAAAAATCAATGATGCAGACTATGACCTACAAATCAATACATGTAATGCAATATTTAACATATATGTACTTAATACAATAAAATGTATTTTTTGTTTTGATAATGCAGTATTTACTGTTGCAGCTTTCAAGAAAAAAGTTCACTCCGTTTTCAAAGGTGTTGTTTTTTTTTCTACAATGGCTGCAATAGTTAATTCCTGCATTAACAAAAGAAGAAAAAATCTTGCTAAAATTTGTGTGCCTTGTAAGTTTGATCTACATGTATTTCATATTTAGAGAAAAAAATAAAAATATCTTAGATTAAGATAACTATAACTTTATATTCACATTTGGCAATTGCTTGCCATTTAAAACCACGGATACAAGCAAGTTACAACATGTAGATGTAGTGTTATACCTTTATAACTAAATACAGCATAATATTTCCTTTGATTTGACTAGTTATGCTTTCTGTCCGTATAATGTTGCCATTGCTTGAAGAGGTGTGACTAATGCAGTTGGAAGAAAGACATTTGCCGGAGAGAGGAAAGTGATTAAAAAACCCCGAAATGTTTTCATATTCCTTTGATTTATGCATATCCATATCAATGTATGTAATTTTGATCAAAAAGCAAGTGACGGTAAAATGTTAATATAAACATGTAATGTATATTTTTGTATCTATGAAAATTCCTATTCACAAGAAAGGACGTTTTGCATAAATGCCATGCGAAGATTAAAAAAAAATCAATGCTGATGCTATTTCCTCAAATATCTGTTTATGTATCCTTTCATGGTACACCAAAAATATTTATAATTATTATTACCATCTGATTTTTAAATTGATTTCAAAATTTCCTTAAAATATATATAAAGCAAAAACTGTGATCTCAGCAATTCAAAGGATTTCCAGTGTGTTTAGATTAAAAAATCCTCTAAAATCAAGCAAAAATACCTGGTAATTTACCTCAGTTTTTGGGCGGAATTTTGTCTGAGTAACAATGCTTCAATCACAAATTTTTGGAAAAATTTATATATTACTGAGAAACGCGTTGTCTTGCCTGAAGTTAATCTTTTACATACGAATTAAAAACTTTATCCTATCTACGTTTCTGAAAAGAAAATACTTCATTGCCTTTGTCCATTTATTTTATTCAGAAAAGTAAGCTGCTATCGAGAAAGTAAATGAGGGATCCAAAACAATTTTCTATTGTATTGACTTTTCGCAAATGTAATGATAATTGTTCCCGTCACAGTCTTCATCGGCCCACAAGAAATCAAATTCTTTGAATAAAGCAAGGCAATCCTGGTCATGATAATTGTTAGGTTGTTTTTCCCCCCAGAATGTAAAGGATAGCAAATCTCCATTCTCTGTCCAGGCCCACGTATCCTCTTTCTGTCGATCTGAACCTCCAATCCATACCGTGTCTATGAAAAGCAAAAAACATAATTTCTACTATTTATGCCTCTCATATCAATTTGCTTATTTGAAATCTTCTTATGGAAGCAATTTTCTTATTACCAAAATATATAAATGTATTTATCTTATTGTTCAGTAATTTGTAAATTGAAATTTCAGAGGTGGGATCTGGTGCCTAGGAGGAGAAATCATCAGTCGACGGCTCACACCCCCCATGAATTTTATGTATTGATCAAGTAGACGGAATATTCCTTTGTCAAATTATGTATGAAAAGGGCTTAACAGTAAGTATTACATGAGTTAGCTAAAATACGACCTAATCATAGGTTATATTTCCTTACAAGGTCATTTAACGACAGTAGAATTTACGAAATGCCGCCTTTAACGCGTTTAACGCGTTGAAATCTTTGTAACCTGACCACAGCATGCTCTTGATTGTCGAATAAGTTGGAAGACGTAAACACCAAATGCAAGTGATAGCAAAGTATTACTACATAAATAAGCTAAAACTACAGACATCTCGTTTGGCATACAATTCAGTTGGCCTCATCGTCTATAGTCCGTAAAACATCCAATTATGACAAAATGACACTCTGTGGTGTCTTCTATTTTGAGTTCACTGGGATATATCGAGTAGACATATGATAGAAGTTACAATCGCTAGTTGTTAAAATCTCGTGTTACAAATGTTTTTTTCTTCTTATGTAGTAGTTTTGAATAAATTCTGCTTCACAGAAATATAAAAACAGGTCGCCTAATAAAGAGGTACATTTATCGTCCATTCCAATAGTTTGTTGGAAGACTTGGCCTTAAGACTATAAATTGAGAACAGAAAGTCAAAATTTGAAATGGATATATCTTCTGAAATAATTTTGATAATCAAACAAAAATTTCACCGTGTTTGTATCTAAATATTATACACAAACATGCACCTTTTTCAACACAATAAAACTCAAGATTTTCAGAATCAAAATTTTGACTCATGGCCTGGTCCCCAAAGACCACATACACGTACTTGTTGTCAATGACAAATTCCAGCATCGTTTTAAAATCAACTTCAGAGTTCTTGTGTGTAGATTCACAATGATTTTAATAAAGTAATTAAGGTTTAACAAAGTAATTTTGTTGATAATTAATCAAAAGATCTGCAAATTTATTGAAGAAGCAGTTGTCTATGATTTTAAAAAACATAGTTTTTAAAATTTATACATAGTTCATATGCAGTGAGGAATAGTTGTATAGTACGAACTATTTGGCGGTTTTGAGCAATATCATGTATATGCTTTCTTTTCTGAATACAAATACAGCTTTTGAATATTTTCCTTTACAATTGTTGTTTATAACCCATTTTCCCGTTTGAACTGAACAGTTAAAACATGAAATACACAAGGTACAATGATAATTTCTACGCATTACCTCCTATATTTTTGGAAAGGCTCTGCAGGAAATAATTCTCCTCTATACTTCCAATTTCCGCAAGTTTCCCTCCCAGAGCAACACAGGATGACTGAAATTTATTTGAATTATCAAGTAAAAGAGTTAAAGAGTTCATAGGTCGTAAAAAGTGATATTTAAAAAAAAATACTTTTAAAAGTTTAAATGCAACTTACCAATGACAAAACAGAAATAAATTTTGCTTTACTGACCGTGGAAACAATGGATTAAATAGAATAATATAAAACAGCTAATGAAATTACTGTTTGTCTCTTATTTTTTAAGGTGAGAACTGAATTATAAAGAACTGATTCACATAAAAATTTCAAACTCTTAAGTTATAATTATACCTGTGCATTATCCCAGCTTTTTCTAGTTGTGCCAATCAGGTACTGAGAAATCCCAAAACACGATCCCTGAAGTATTTCTTAAATGTGAAAATAATCATATGTAACTTAATTCATAATTTTCTACATTACTAACATTGAAAGGACATTGGTACCCTGATGCAAGAGGTAACTCTAAATCAGATAAATGATTATCAATTTTTGTTTTTATTAATTTGTCAGTCAAATGTATATTTTGTCTAATTTTGCCCCACAAGCTATGCTAATATTGTCTGCAATTTACTTATAAAATGCATTTCTTATGTAAAACCATAAGCATTAAAGCAGCATTTCAAAACAGAGGGATTATGACCCTTAATTCAGCATACCCCAACGCATGTCTTAATATCAGTTATTTTGCAGCAGAACGTGTATTGAGTATTTTGATTATACTTTCTGAGAAACTCTCTGAATGCAAATTAGTTTAAAGAAAACCTTGTAAACATTTACAAATCAAGGGCTAAATTTTGCTAAAATTTAATATATCTTTTTTTCCTGTAGTATTACCAGCAATAAGACAAATTCTGAAGCATTGGCCTTTTTAAATCAACATAAAATCTGAGTAACTTACAAGAATCAGTAAGAACCAGAGTACGCGAACTTAACATGAAAGATGATCAGCAAGAACGTTGTAACATATAAAAATCCGAATACTGTAATTCTAATTAAAAAAGTAATAACCGTTATTATTATTATTGTAAAGTACTTACCTGCGCCTAAAATTGTGTACTGTTTGTAACCTGACATCACCGTTAGTCCATTCCCAACACCAGGGGCTGTTATACAACTTTTTGTCAACTTGTTGTAGAAAAAAGAACAGCATCCATACTGTTCTAGACATTTATCACCACATCTTGTCAGAGTTTCTATACCTTTGTTATCAAATAAAATCTTTGCTGAAATTGGAATCATATTGTCTTTTCCGACCATTCTCACAAAGCGTGTTTCTTTTGGTACTAAAAATGTTCTCCCCTTGCAAAGCAGTGCTCCAAAAATTAAAATCTGAAATATGATAAACATTTTACTAGGTTCAGGGAAGCCGATGATTTGTAAATATAAATTGAAATTCTTCCAGGTAACCTGGATCTTTCTTTTGTAAAATACATGTAGTATTCTATGGTATTTAGACATTAAGTGCATTCAAATGTTTTACAAATATGCTTAGAATTCCTCTATGTAATATTGTGTACACATTTGAGTGCTGTATTGTGATTCCAGTACCATTACAATGCTGCTATTTTACTTTAATTCTTATTCTTGTTGAATAAAGCTTTGATAATTTTAAATTGGATTTATGGATAATCGATACTTCAGGATATTGCCCGATTAAAGTCATATATGGCGTATTTTTGATAAGTTCAGATAACCAAAATTTAAAATATCTTTCTATTTGATTTATTACTTTATTTAAAGATAGGACTTTTCTGTAAATTATACAATTTTAATCAACCGTGTTTTAAAGATATAAAAAACATAAAACAATCACCAATTTATTTACCGACTCCCCATTTAAATAAAAGACACATTTAAGGAAGCTCTAAACACATACAAAAAGTGCTTTTTGGACTGGGAGAAAAATATATCATATAAAGGTGTGCATATTGAGACTATTTAGTTCATTTTCAAGATAGGGTACCTGCCTTATTTCCGCAGGAAAAATGTTCAAAGAAAATGGACACTATTCATGAGCAGAAATCACTGTTGTTTACTTACATTGGGAAAATTAATGGAAATAGTGAATTCAATTACTTATTCTTGGTCTAATATAATGCTAAGAATATTTTATCTATTACAAATTGTGTAATTAACTGTAAATAACCATTTTTTCTATCTTACTTCTAAGGGCAGATCACTCTAACTGCATAAAAGTACCCTATAAGTAGAACTCTTTAGCGTGCAGTGTTTAGAGCTTCCTTAAAGTCAATTTAATTATAGAAACGTAAGGTTATTCGAGTTCAAAATCGGTGAGTATTTCAATTTGAAAGTAAATAATATTATATCATGTATATCTACACTCAACCTCGTATTATCATTTTTAGCTCCAATACGCCATATATAGCTTTAACAAAACATTATATATAAACATAAAAAGAATCAGAAAATGACAATTTATTACACTGAATGAAGATAAATCAGTATATATATTATACAGACCGTTATTTAGAAATATGGCCTCATGATCAATTTTTGACGTAATCTTGTAAATATTCATGAGTTGCGTCACTTATTTTTGTCGTTATAGAAGAAATAGCTGATACGACTATTAGATATATAAAACAGATCCAATCTTAGAGCTTAATACAGTCTAACCTTAAACCCTCGATCGCATATTACACAACCATATTTAATTTGCGTTTTGCCAAACTGAGGGGAAAAAGTCAGGGTTTGTTTATCTGATTGTACCATGTTTTACTCCTCTGAGTCAATTTATAAGCATGTTTCGACATTAAGCTGATTCATGTCCGTTTTTTTTTTTAAAACAAAGGTACTTGTCAGTGTATTTGCAAGCAGAAATTACATGAATCACCCCAAAGTCATGAAGATTATGGATTAGATTTGTAAAACAGATCCAATCTTAAAACTATACTCTAATACTAATCACTTGATCGAATACGTTTTGTTAAAGCGGAAATGACTTTTATTTTTTGCATTCTGCATAGCAACGGCAATGGAAGTAACCGACCATGCGCATTTGCTTGATTTTCTTTGCTTGAACGTTCCTAATTGTTTTGTTCTGTTTTTCTTTTTTTGTAATTTACTTTTTTTTTGTTTGTTTTATTATTTTTGTGGATTCATTTTTAACTATTCTTGAAGTTGACATTAAATGTGGATCTGCAAATGCAAATACTTCGTTACATTTATAAAACAAAAATACCTTATTTTTTAAACTTCAATAATTTTAATTTCGTTGCAAGTGGAATACAAAAAACAAGCTAATTCAGTGAACTAATGTCCTCTGTTCAAGGACAAAGTAAGAGCTAAGACCTTCAAAATTCAGATGGAGGAAGAAAAGAGTGATTGACCTTGACCTGTCAGCGCTTTACCTTAAAAATATATAGACGACTTTCTTAAGTTAAAACAAACAAGTGTTTTTAAGTTTCATTGCTAAATATCAGAGAAAACTACTAAAATTTATTGACCAAGATACCGGAACCAGGCTATATCTTGTTCTTTATTTAAAAGTATCAGATCATGTGCACGCGGGACGTTCTCTTGTCGCCAATATATGTAATGATCTCTGATTTGAGCTTCATGTGTGACGCTTCCAAAGTATTCAGTCTGTATTTCGCAAATAGCAAAACCACGCAACAATCGGTGCATAAATTTAACGTTACTGAACGGTAAAGAACTGAAACAAAACAGACCAGAAGTCTCCAACCTATACAAATTTCTGACCTTGGTTTTTGACCTTTTGAACTCAAAATCGATAGAGGTTTTCATTAAAAGTCAAACTTAGTCATGATATAACATTTCATTTCAAAACCTTTAAGAACCTCAAAGAAAACTAAGATAATCATCTTGAAACCATTCGGCATAATTGAATTTCTGACCTCGATCTTTAATCTTTTGACAAAGGGATCATTTTTAAAGTCAAAGGAGTTTTGATATAAAATACAATTAAAAAAGCTCGATGAGAATTAAAGTTATCGTCTGGAAACCATTTTTTGCAATATACATGACTTTCTTACCACGACCATTGATCAATATTTTTTTTAATGACAAGCAGTTACGGCATAAAACTTTAAAAATTTAAAAAGCTGAAAGAAATTTTTAAATATCGTCTGAAAACAAAAGTGTCAAACACAGGTAGAATGATAGACGAGAGCATGGACTATTGGAATACTGAAATTTAAATCCCAAGCCTTTGCTAAAAGCGGTAAAAAAATATTCAATCGTTTATTTTATATATATATATATATATTTTTTTTTTTCAGAAGATCTTCATTTCTTTTTTTCTGTTTCTTTTTCTTTCTTTCTTTTTTTTTTTTTTTAATTTTTTTTTTTGTTGAAGAAAACAGTCACCCTCTGTTTATGAAACCAAAGGTTATGGGGTACAAAAAGTGAAAGGCCATCCTGAATGGAATTGGGTGGATTGATCAAGACTCAGCAAATAATGAGTGGAAAGGAGAAGTTTTAAATACACTGTAAGTAGAAAACGATGACTGAATGGAAAGCAAACGCGAATTGCACTGAGAACGCAAGAAGGAAAAATTTGTCTCCGACACATGTGGTATAAATAAATAAATATTTTTATGTAGGAATTGATATTACATTTTATGTTATTAGTCCCCTACCGGTGAAACCGGAGGGGACTATAGGTTTTTGATTTTAGTCTATTTTTCTATATTTTAGCTTTTTATAGCGAGCGAAGCGAGCGGCGCGAAGCGCCGCTCGTCACTGCGAGCTCTAACGACAACGCCTGGGCGAAGAGAAAATTCGGACTACTGCACATTTTTTTTCCGCAGTAATTCTGGACCCACAATGCATCGCTTGTTGTTCTCGCTACTAACTTCGTTCGCGCGGTAACAACAACTAAAAATTCACAAAAGATAAACTTACCTTAATTTAATGGATATATATTGCATACAGATAGTAGATTACGTTCTTTGTTAAAATTTTCGCACTTTTCAAACTTCGTTTATGGAAATGCAGCTAACATACGACGTTATGTGACGTCACAGTCTAGACGTTCCAAATGTCTCGTGCGGTTTGAAGAGGCGGATCTTAAAATTAATTATTAATAATGCGCTCGCCCCAACGGTCGCACCGTCAACATATTAATGCTTCTCAATTCAAATTGCACACCTTAAAATGTGCACCTAATTGCCACTCAACTGTAATTTTCAGATATCACTTGATCATAGGAATGGTATCAAAGTACAATTTGTCACTGGCTTCGTGGTTACTGTCAAACCAACAGGTATTAAATATTTACATGTATATATGACTTTTTGCCCAAGATGAAGTAACAAAGGTCAAAATTAAGGAAGATTTTCGTTTCTTTTATGCTTAGAAGGTGTTAAAAATTACTTCATGCATTATCATCATATAATGTCAACCACAGAGAGTCTAATTTACGCTTAGAAATAATTAATTTGAAAAACATTTCTATCTTAGCAGAAGCAACAGATTAGCAGATGAGACGTTCGTCAAAAGTTTGTGTAGTTTTGCCTTTACTGGGAATTGAATTTATCAAGATATTACGAAAGCCATTTATCAATTTTCATCAAAATACGAAAAAACATGGTAAAAAAAAAAAAAATCAAATTTGCAATTTTAGATTGCACTGTATTAAGTTTGTCTTTGTTATCGTCATTTTTTTTTTTAAATAAACACTATACTATTACGTTCATGTATATAATTATATTTATTTTAATTAAGATAGTTATGCGAATAAGCAGACTTAAAAAAAAATTGATAATGTATCGACTTTAAACGAGACAGCTGATATTCTTGTTTCATCAACTTGTTTGTCAATTATTTACCTCGTTTTAAAAATTGTACATATAAATATTGACATTAAAAGATGCTTGAGTTTCTGATTGACAATATCTATGTGGTTTTGGGAGACCAGGTCTTCCAACAATCTATTGGAACTCCCATGGGTACCAATTGCGCCCCGTTATTAGCAGACCTTTTTTTTGTATTCATATGAAGCAGAATTTGTCCAAAATCTTGTACGTGAAAAGAAGAAAACACTTGCTGTGGCGTTCAACTCGACATTTAGATATATCGACGACGTATTGTCAATTAACAACGGCTATTTTCATTCTTATGTCGATACGATATATCCTGGTGAACTTGAGATGAAGATACCACAGAGTCTGATATATCTGTTTCATATTTGGATATTTTACTTGAAAAAGACGTTAATGGTAATCTAACAACCAAGCTTTATGATAAACGTGATGACTTTAACTTTTCAATCGTCAACTTCCCTTACTTATGCAGCAATATACCTTCATCACCTGCATACGGGGTATATATCTCTCAGTTGATTCGATACGCAAGAGCATGCTCTACGTATGTACAATTTCTAAAACGAGGTAAATTATTGACAAATAAGTTGATGAAACAAGAATATCAGCTGTCTCGTTTAAAGTCATCATTTCTTAAGTTCTATGGTCGATACAATGACCTTGTCAGCAAATATAATTTATCATTGAGTCAAATGCTGACTGACGTTTTTCATACTAATTGTTAGGCCATTATTTACTCACTGAATTGTCGACGGATTTTTCCGTTATTTCCCGATCATGACAAGGGGCACACGGTGGGTGTGACCGGTCGGCAGGGGATGCTCACTCCTCCATGGCCTGATCCCAGCTCTGATGTTTGGAGGTCCGTGTTTGCTCTGCTCCTATTTTGTATTGTATAATGGACTTTTGAGCTTGAATACTGTTCGTTATCTCTATATATTTTATTCAGGAGTACTGTGCAACAATATATTCGAAAATTGGTGTAAATCAGATGTGGATAATTAAAAAATTTAAAGGAACTTTTGGAAAATCTGAAATCACAAAATTTGACCAAAATCAATAACATAAAAATTTCCCACTTTTTAAGTCTGTATACAACCATTTCCCGCGCCAAATTAAAGTCCAGGCGTTTTGAAATCATTGACAGCTGCTTTTTCAATAAAAATGGAACTTGTAAATTTACTTACCATGTCATTGATCATTTGCAAAATTATTTTGTGAAAAAAAATTCTGATTGTACACACAAGTACTTTGACGTTGATATTAAAAAGATGCTTGAGTTTCTAATTGACAATATCTATGTGGTTTTTAGACACCAGATCTTTCAAAAATCTGTTGGAATTCCCAAGGGTACCAATTGCGCCCCGTTGTTAGCAGACCTATTTTTGAATTCATATGAAGCAGAATTTATTCAAAATCTTATACATGAGAAAAAGAAATCTCTTGCTTTGGCTTTCAACTCGATATATCGACAACGTATTATTAATTAACATAGTTATTCCCATTCATATGTCGACACGATATATCCTAGTGAGCTTGAAATAAAAGATACCACAGAGTCTGACACATCTGTTTCATATTTAGATATTTTACTAGAAAAAGACGTTAATGGTAATCTAACAACACAACTTTATGATAAACGTGATGACTTTAACTTTTCAATCGTCAACTTCCCTTACTTATGTAGCAATATACCCTTATCACCTGCATTTGGGGTGTATATCTCTCAGTTGATTCAATACACAAGAGCATGCTCTACGTATGAACAATTTTTAAAACGAGTTAAGTTATTGGCAAACAAGTTGATGAAACAAGAATATCAACAGTCTCCTTTAAAGTCATTATTTCGTAAGTTCTATGGTCGCTACAATGACCTTGTCAGCAAATAAAATCTATCATTAAGTCATATGCTAACTGACGTTTTTCATACTAATTGTTAGGCTATTATTTACACACTGATTTGTAGACGGATTTTCCCGTTATTTACAACTAGGAGCACACAGCGGGTTGACAAGTTGGCAGAGGCTGCTCACTCCGCCATGGCACCTGATCCCACCTCTGTTTTTGGAGGTCCTTGTTTGCTCTGCTCCCGATTTGTATTGTTTTCAAGCACTTTTGAGCTTGAATACTGTTCGTTATCTCCATATTTCATCGTAAATTTTATATGAAATGCCCAATCAATTAAGGGGTTAAAATAACGCCAAAAGGGGGGTGTTTTTTCCCTACATTCTATAAAGTTTTACCCCTGGAAAAGATATAGACCTAGGAAATGTTATTAAATAAGTAACAGCGGAATAAAATGCATCCAAAGTACATGTTTTAAAATGCCGATAGAGATTCAGGGAAAGGAGAAACACATATCTAATGTCCATTAGTAGTCCGGGTGTCTAAAGACGGTCGGTCAAGACGAAAAGTGACATTGTTCATAATTGGTAGACATTGAACTCCGACAAGCAAATTATGCTGGCATAATCAAGTGAAGATCTTTCTCTATGTATGGATCCATTTACAATTTTATGCATTGAAATCAGCTGTTCATGACTTTGTAAAGTCATTTAAACAAGACGGGTGTAGGTCTTTACTTAACTCCAGGGAATTTCATCAAGATAAGTGTATTGAGGGAGAGAGAGAGCGGACATTAATGTTTTCCTATATCCAAGTATTGATTTTGACATGCAGGTTTAAATAATATATCAGATAATGTCGGAATATATTTTCAATAGTCTAGAGAATACGTAATTTATTCAATTAAAAAAGTTTAGAAGAGATCAATTTTCCCACATGCGCACGGTGACAAATGCTTTGCTTGATGATAATTGAGATTCAGTATTCTTTTTGTGTTTCATTCGATAGGCATATCTTTGTAATTTCGTCTGATCCCTTAGAAAATTCACGAATCAAAATGGACCATCCTGTTCCTCTATTTGTTCTAATAATATCACTTTATTATGCTAGTGTATTTGGTGCTTTTAGAGAATTTTCGGAATTTTCACGAGTTTCTTCGAATGATAACAAAATACCAACTCTTGACATCTTAGGGGAATACGAGGCGATTCAAAGTCTGTCTGAATGTAGCTCAAGATGCTTCAAACGACCAGGTTGTACAACTTTCTTCTTTAACCGTGGATCTGGGAAATGTTTTGCAACCAGTTCTGCAAATGGACTTGAAATGTTCGATGGATTTATGCAATTCTCTATTCAAACAAGTATATGTGTTTGACTGTCCTTCTTAATGGAAAATATATATTTCAGCAAAAACATTCAAAAATCTTATTATTCACTTTGTATACTGACGAAAGAGGGATACTGTTCAAACCCATGTCAAATATTTTTACCATTAAAGTTTGAAGTAGTTATCTTCTAGCACAGTGAACCCTTTTCTGTAAACGTTCACATATATTAAAGTAACTCCAATAAGATACTGTATTTCTAATGTAATTTTGTTTGTTTTAGGTATCCTGCAATGGAGGATATTTGGTAAATCGTACTATCTTCTTGTGAAGAGTAAACTAGCAATCTTAGAAGCACAGGTAATAATTATCAAAGCAAGAACTCCATGTTAAACAATTGTAGCTTCATGATACAAAACTAGGCCAATTATCTCGTTAAGTTTTGCAATTCTTTTTATACGAAATGCTATTATAAGGTGCGCAATGGAAATAAAGGTTACGCAGAATGTAGATAAAATAAAAGTATAAATTCAATAAAAAAAAGAGTCATATTCTATGAATAAAAAAACCAAGAAAGCGTAAATTGATAGTTAAACCCAATTTTGGACATAAAAAAATCGATCCACGAGTAATTCGATATTTATTTTGTGATTTATCGATTCGTAGGAAATAATTTTCTGCAAAAAATATTATTATGTTGTCTTACACTCACAAGAACTAGACTTTCAGTAGCTTGATGTTGCTAATTATAGAAAAAGAAAGAGTAGATACATGTATCGCATGTGTACAAAAAAGCATGCTTAGCATACTATACAATAGTAGTCTTAACTAAATAGATGCAAGTTCGTTGATTGAAAATATCTAAAACACAGGCACTCGTAGGAAGGAATTTCATTTTTTGTGGTGGGGGTATCTCCAAAGAAATGTTTTGACGAGCAAACAAAAAAGTTATAAGACATTATTATAATAGACAATGAAAATGTAAAGTTAGATAAGATTTTTTTTGTTCTCGGCGAACAAGGCCACGGCATTAAGGCTGCCGGATGATAAATTGGCTAGCCCTAAAATCAACTATGCATTACATTAAACATTACATTATGCATTACATCAAACATTATGCCACATTATCATTCGAGGACTACTATTATTAGATTCATAATTTATACTACGCATATTGGTACACTGTAACATTTTAGGGACACGCCTGTGTGCTCCCTTCCGGTTCATAAGGGCCTACAACATTAGAAATACCAGGGAATAAATACAAAAAATAGAAATTGAATATTTTTTTCGGATACAGGTGAAAGATCTTGTGACAAGTTTATTCATTTTCAAATTGTTTAATTCGATTTCTTTGTCCGTTTCCTTCGGTCGGGCTCCTTCTTCGTATATGTGTACATTGTACTTGGAAAAACCGCTTTCGTTTATGAAAATGATTTCTATGTGTACCGGACATGCGTGACATATATGTCTGTAGGAGTGTTTATTTAATCACAGTTCCACTGCGCAGCCTGTGACATTGCAACCAACATTTTTCAACAAGTCATTCGTATAAAACGTAAATGACTTAATATAAATTAGCAAAAAACTTCGAGGAGACCTCGCTTACTTTAAAATATCAAAGTCCTTATTTATTCTTATCCCGAAACTATGAGTAGTAATTATTCCTTTGTAAGATTTTAATTATTTAATACCGATTTTTAATTGCGATATTTGGATACAGCTCAGGCTTTTAGCACCAGATACTGAATCCAAATTTATCATTTATTAATTAGTTCTTCCGCGAAAATATTCATTATTTGTTAATAAATCCATCAGGTATTATTTGTTAAAATTATTAACGTATTTATGATAGCGTTTCTTAAATTAAATGCACTTGTGTGTACAAATGTAAAACTAGGTTTACCTACGCAATTTTTAATCTGTGGAATTTGATGACTTATAATTCATGTTTAACGATTTTAGGAATTTCAACATTTGTATAATTACACAAGTCGCAAAATTTCCACCACTGAGTGGAATTAATTTAAACTAATTACAGATTGAATTTGATGATGATCCCCGAAAGAACAAGGTACGGTTTTAATAAAAATTTTGCCCTGTGTTTTTTCTTAAAAATGAAAGTGATGTAAAAAATTAAAACTCATGCTTTCTGAATCATTGAAATTCCATGCAGAAGGATCATACAAATCATTTTCTCACATGATCTTCTAAATGCTAATTTTGACGTCATAAGCTTTTGCATTTTCCCGTATTTTCTTAAAAAGTTGCAGAAGACAACGATTTTCAATGGAATTTTCTTTCAGATAATATTGTCCAGAGGCATCGCCCACAAAGATTTTGAGATATGTGATTTGTCAAAGAATTTTACACAACATACCCGAAAATTAGAGTGGGCGGCGGCTGTGAACACTATTTTCTAAGGAAAATAAGCCTTGTTTGTCACTCATATGGAGACGTCCCCATATAAAGGTGAAGAGCTTCAAATTTAGACCGTTACTCGGCATTCAGGATCCTTGTTAAGTGAGGGATCTTTATCGTGCCAACGCCTGCCATGACAGGGGCCTTGGTTTTTAAGGTGTCATCCGAAGGACCCGCAACTTTCACTTCAAAGTGCCGAGCGCTCGGCGAAGGAACAGTTGCTACCTGTTTTTGTTTTGACTAAGGTTAGTCTCGGACGGGGCTCGAACCCACGACCTCCCTTCGGAAGAGAGCGTTCTACTATATGTAATATATATATGACTTATTTTGAAATACATATTACAAATAATGTGGGTTCCATTACATTTTCTTTGAATGAAATGTCCTGTGATGGATTTGTAACTAGAAAGCTTCCCCTCCGAGTGATCAAATTTAATAACACGGTTTAAATGCCCGATAAAAGTGCACGAGAATTTCTGTGGTAGAATTAATAATGAATTAAAACGCAAAGCCATTAGGATTTTACACATAAAACATTTGTTTGTTTTAGTAACTCTATTAATAATAAACATCGTATGCTGGTTGATTTTTCTGGAAATGGTACAATAAAATGAGTAAAATTATTACAATTAACTTGCATGTGATAAAACATAAATTTGCTATTTTTCCCTCTTAATATGCCTTCAGACATTTTCTGAAGCGTTTCTTTTCATTTTATTTTGATTAAATTTACGTAGCGTAATATGACAACAGAGTTCATCCTGATCTTTGCTAAGATTAGTTTTGTTTATCCTAATTGTGATATCATTTCTTACAAGATACAACCCCAAAGAACAGGGTCTCGTGGGCCTTATATCAACCCTAGCAAAATAGATCTGAAATCAAAACACATCAGAATTACAATGCATTGATATGTAGAGAACACATGTGTATATTTGAATGCTTATCAAAGAAATGTCTTTATATATTCGATAAGTATTTTGAAAGTCATATTCAAAAATATATTCTATAAAGCTAGCTGCACTTTTCTGCCTTTTATCTAATCAGCCTTGCCTATACAGTACTTGAAATACTTATTTGCCTACATATGAATTTGACATAGTACTATCCATTTGTGTTAATTTTTTTCAAACACTGACGTAAGACTTTGGTCTCTATAAGAGTCTCATCTATACCCCTCGGGGTGGGTTTGGGGGGAGGGTGGGGGTGTGGGTGGCGGGGTGTTAATTAACTAGCGTCCTCCTAATAACCCTACACAACTTTAAGGATTACGACCTAAACTTACATGTAGAGAAACGTTAACTACATATGATGTTTGTATTTCAGTGAATCTGCAAAGATTATTGTAAGTTGATGAAATACAGAATTTTACACATTTAATACAGCGATCATCAATCTGGAATACATTTTAAAAGGAATTTCTAACAAGTGACATTATGTATCAATTAATAAATCTATATCTAAAGGTATTTCCACCCTTGCAATTTCAATGGTTCAAAGTAGACAAAGTGCATTTAGTTTCACTGAATATACTTTAAATTAACTAACAATGGCAAAAAATGTATAGGTTGCCATATTTTTAAAGATGTAAAAAATAAGTAAACAGAAGTATAAGTCAGCCATGAAAAAATCGTACATTTTTAGCATATAGTGTTAAATAATGATGTTAAAACTGGTTCGAATACATAATTCTGATGATAAAAGTTCCAAAATAATTGCTACTTTATAAATATGTTTGAATTGTGAATATCAGGGAAACTACTTTAAATTAAAGGTACGATAAAGAAAATGCTTGAATGAAAACACATGAGAAGGAGTAATTGCCCCTCGCAACATTTTCTAAAGATTGAATAATTGATTAAATAAAGATACATTTTAAAAATTCTTTTACTTAGCAATATTTTTCACTGCACCTTTTGAAAAGAATTCTTCCACATATAGTTTTCTATTGGGTATAATTTTTAATTAATACCAGTTTTTACAAAAAACTATGACATCACAAGAGGATGAAAATTCCTTAACCATTTGATGTCTGAAAACACTAGCTGTGGCCTCCAATTCGACATTCAGACATATCGAGGATGTTTTATCAATTAACAATAGTTATTTTCATTTGTATGTCGACTTGATTTATTCCAGTGAAATTGAAATTAAGGACACCACAGAGTCTGCCACATTTGTTTCATATTTAGATATTTTACTGACTATAGACAATAAAGGCCAATTAACTAGTACATTGTAAGACAAACTAGATGACTTTAGCTCTCCATCGGCAACTTTCCTTATTTATGTAGTAATATTCCAATAACACATGCTTATGGTGTTTATGTCTCCCAATTTTTTCGCTACTAAAGAGCTTGCTCTGAATACAATCAAATTTTCAAGCGAGGCAGCTACTCACTGATAAGTTGATGGTTCAGGGATTTCAACAGCCTCGTTAAAAGTCAGCATTTTGTAAATTTTATGGTCGTTATAATGACCTTGTTAGCTAATATAACCTATAATTGGGTCATATTTTAACTGACTTGTTTCATACAAATTGTTAGGTCTTTGCTTTTATTACTGAATTGACTACGGACAGTTTCACATCAGTGCGGATGTGACCGGTCAACAGGGGATGCTTACTCCTCCTAGGCACCTGATCCCACCTCTGGATTTTCCAGGGGTCCGCGCTTTATGTCCTCTTCACATATTTGTATTGCTTATGGATTTTTTTTTATCGGTCCCTGTTCTTTATCTTTGCCATTTACATTTTAACCGTTTGATGTCTATAGAAATAAAATAAACAGGGGTTTTCTACATCTTCCTCTAAAAAATATTGAAGGTCTTGTCAATTGATTATGCAAAATCAAATCTTTTTTCAAGAGACACTGTTTGACGCTTGGGGCAAAGCTTGTCGAGGTTGATACTCCAGAAGAAAATACATTTTTGACAAACATGGCAATTCAGGAAAATGTTGGTAAGAAACAAACTTATAAAGTTTTTTTCCCATATTCATTGGATTTCACGAAGATACAGTTGTTCTCTTGCAATCAAATTGACCTGAAGTCTGGTTTAAAATTTTGAAAGTATTGTATTATGTTTAATATGTAGTGGTTAATCTCCTTGATGGAAAATATATCAAAAATACACTTTTACATCTCTTTAAATACCGTTAAAGGGAAAATACACTACATTTAAATGCGATTAAAACGTGAATTTCATCAGTATAAGAAAATTATTACATTTACCCCCTTATTCATTCTTTTGAAACAAATATAATTGTATTTACAATGTTATTACATGAATATCCAAATAGAAATAACTGACCTTATTGACAAATGGGATTAGGAAAGATACAGGTCAATCAAAAAGTTAGAGAAAAATTGCAGTCTGCTTAGTCAAAGTAAGGATTCAAACTTTATTCCGACAACTGAGGGAGAAATCATGAGGAACAAGTCTGTAACTATACCAAACTAAAACTATAGAAGACCTAAACGGAAATACAAAAATGCATAAGATTGTATCATGTAAAAATACGGTTTCTTTCATTTTTTTTGTTGTTTTTTCTTTCCTTTGCCCTGTTCACACGGATGCACAACAAATTTTTGCTTTGCTTTAAATTTATGCATCGTAAAATAATGCAAATTAAATCAAATAAGATTAAAAAAACGTTTAGATTATATCTAATGCGAAGTAAACTAATGCGCAGATTTGAACGTATTTTCAAATTAAAAGGTTCGCAAATTTTTGTAAAGGATAAAAAAAATAAGCAATTTTATTACACAGTTGAACTACAGTATTTCGAACTCTGAGAGTAAAGTATGGATCATATATACTATTTTGGTAGAAAATATAATTACTTCACTTGTTCCATACTCATACATTGGTAAATAAATAATAAATTTTCAGTCTATTGCACATTTTCAATGCAATGTATGCGTGAAGATTATAACACAGTTATTTCCTAGTTATATATTGCTCAGTATGGCGGTTAGTTCCGATATTGCGACATATAATCAATATCACGAGAGGTTACTTCGGTGTAAAAAAAAAAATTAAAATGTAAGATGCCGTGTCTATTTTCTTAATTAGTTTTTTTTGCTTGTTTTTTTCTTGAAAAGTATAGTTATCCCCTCGCAACGGAGTTCTGGGATATAGTAATACGCATGTGAGTGTGTGGGTTAGAGAGTTAGTAGGTGTGTGCGTAACGGGATCTATGTCGAATGTTGCCTTAATGTATATCTATTTTTTAATTTTTTCATTAATTTTTTGATCATCTTGTATTCCAATCACATAGATAAAATTGAACCAGGGGATAATAAAACATAACAGACAGTAGTGTGCTTTTCTAAGTGTAAATATTCAGTGGTGTGCAATCGGGTGCGGAATTCTTCTTTCATCATATTGCAAATTGGAGACGGTAAATAGAAATAAAAAAAAACATTAAAACAGAAGTTTTAAAGTTTACGTGGCAGGTTCGGCCAGGTAAGACGGAATTTATGCAGTCACATTAACATCAAATTCTGAATGGTAGAAAACCATTGAAATGAACGTTTACGTTCCCCCATTATTCGCCGTAATTTTCAATTTACAATCATGTAAACATTCAGAACAGCTCCAGTAGAATAACTATATTTAGCTACGTACAGTGAAATCACCAATTATAGATTTACGATTCGCGATTATTCGCAGTACTTTCAAATCATGTAAACAACTAATTCTCAACAGCGCCCATACTTTATCCACATTAGATAAACGGCGCTCTAAAGACGGAGGACTCGGTTTGTGATGGTCACCATGCTCATTCTGGAAAAGGATATCTTTACCCACCCATCCTATTGCCGATATTTGACCATGTCTAACAAATAGACTGTTCTTGTTATAAAAAAGAACTTGCATGGTTAGAGACATAAGACTCGGAAAAATCTTATTAGCTGCTGTGAACATAACGCTACGGCGCATGTCACGTGACCGCTTGTATCACGTGATTCGCGCATGGGCAGAACGGTGGAAGATGTGCATTAAAATCGGAGAGGACTACTTTAAAAGACAATGAATACTGAAATCTAATTTTATTTCTTTTATGGAAATAATTCATTTATTTCGCGAACTTTTTGATTACGACTCGTAGTAACGCGAGTGTGTGTGTGTGTGTGTGGGGGGGGGGGGGGTGTCAGGGTGTGTGTGTGTGTGAGGATGAGTGAGTAACGAAAGTTACCAGGCGCAAGAGTTAGTGCCTATCGAAATTGATATGCACTTATGCGAGGGGAAGCTACGCTTTACAGTGCCCTTGTATATTCATTTTTTTGGCAGTTCGTTAAATAAAATTTGTTTTGATTATTTTCAACTCAATTTCTATATTCCATCAGATACTTGCATTGCACCCTTTTCCAATTTTCATTTCAGCCCGAGACATCAAATCCCTCACTGCTCAATGGCCCTGAGTGCCGAGTATAGGTCAAAATTTGTAGCCCTCCACCGGCAAGTGGTGGCGTCTCAATATGAGTGAAAAACTCTCGAGAGAGACGTTAAATAACAAACAATCAAGTAAATCTACGCAGACCGTACATCGTCCGATTCAAAGTCTCTACCACTCAAAAACTGTCTTTTCCATGTATTTACAAATTTTCGGCTCATTTTGACATATTTCCTGGTTCATCCAGCATTTTCAGAGTTTGTTTAAAAGGTTTCCCGAACGCAAAGCAAAATTTTATCACTATTCGTTATTCTGTGGCATCCTCTGTAGTCATGGTTTTTAGCTTTTTTTAATCAAGTCTATCTGTCTTTAGAAATTGATATTTTTTAAACGAAGCAATGTATTAATTTACATTACATTCTAGCGTCTGAAGTAATAGAATAGTACTAAATTTAAACATTTAAATATCATTGCATTGAAGCGCTATTTATTTGAGGAATGACTATAGGCATTATAGAGTGTATAATAAAAAAAATAACTCAATTTTGACCCTGCTCCGTTACCCCATTTTTGTTATCTTTAATCTTTGATAATTTTGATAAATATCAAGATGTATTCTAATATTTTTACTCAAAGTATTTGAATCTATTGTTCAAATATGTGTATCAAATTTGGTTATAATATGATATTAAATAAAATAGTGATGACAAAAGTCTGCTAATTTTTTGAATGATATTCGAACATTAAGGAATATTCCTTAACTTGAAGAGTACTTTGCTTCCCTGAAACCGATAGCATTACTTAATAAATTCATAAAATACTTGATAAAGTCACACATATTTCAACTTGACCCTAATTACTTAAAATCTAAACTAATAAAATGCAAATTTTCTTTCAAACAAGAACACTTTCCAGAAACTATGTATAATTTTTTTTTATCTAAACTAAGATATACCCTTCGCCATATTGAAATTTGTTTATGACCTCCATACAGGACACATTATATGCATTTATCACGTAACTGTCAAATAATTCAATATAGAAAAGTATATACTTTGTTATTTCAGCTAATGATATCGATAAAATCATTTACAAATGTTTTTTTTTTAATTATATAACCTATTAAAAGCAAAAGCGTATCTATATCCGTATAAACACGGGTTCCTCGCGTCGTAGATGTTCGACGTACTTTCTCGGTGACGTCATAAAGGGTCGACGCGCATTCAATGGATCAAATACGTGCCGTTGAATTTGAAAAATAAAACATTTCTCGCGTATAAGATTAAAATTAGGCAAATATAAAATAAAAATAAGTCGCAAATATAAATAGAAGTAATAAGGTATCATTTTTAACATCTATCGGGATATAAATACGGGTTGGTACAAAATCAAATTAACCATAAAGCCCTTATGGAGTTTGATCTCGTAACCAACCCGATAGCTGTTAAAAAATAATACCTTATTTCTTAAATGATGTCATAATATCTTTACAAATATAAATTCAGTTTTATAAAAGTATCTATTTGTGCACTTTTATATTCTGGTTATTTCTTCATAGTACGCCTTAACAGTGCTGCGCACTATATTGGTAATGATTTTTCTCAGATCTAAGTTTTTGTTGTTCTAAAAATAAAAAAATAATATATATCAAGAGAATCATATATTTTCTTATTCAAACATACATTCAAAAATACTAAATATTTTTCATCTTACTGTAGATATTCATCTTGGGATTACTGATGCCTTTGTAGAGGGACAATGGGTGTTTCTATCTTCATTGGACCCTGTTCCGCTTGTCAACTGGAGCAGTCGTAATCCCGACAATTATCGGAATCAAGACTGTGCAGGGATAGCAGGATATGAAGGTTACAAGTGGGATGACTACGATTGTTCAAGCAAAATGAATTTTGTTTGTGAGAGATTAATTGGTTGAGGACTTCAAAATTCCAAAAAAAAAAAAAAAAAAATGATTGAATAAAAGATGGCATACAACAAAATGGAGAAAATTTTTAAATAATATTTACTTAAAGATTCTGTACCTGTGAATCTACTCAATAGTATGAGTGCCTAACTTAATCAAAATTTAGATTTCGTTAGCATCAGTTGTTCTTAATTATAATGCACCCTGTCAAAGAAGTTTGAAAAAACATGAAAATGGTTACCTTTGTGTGAAAAATGGAATGGATAAATTGCTTATTGCTACAATTTCCTTATCACATACTTAAATGTAAATCAGAATTATCAAATGCAAAATAGACAACAGCTTTAAATAAATTTTTTAGACAAAAAGCAAACAACAACCGATTTGATGTGATTGGAATGCCAACAACTGCAAAATAAAACGCATAATGGATGCAAAACAAATTGTCACGATAAAAACACATGATCATTAATGTTAAACAAAGTCATCGCAAATATAATTCCACGGTAAACGAATGTATGGACGAATTCATTTATTGCTACGTCAAAAATTATGCCTTAGATACATGCTTGAATCAAAATAAGCAGTTTAAACAGTGGATGTAAATTTAAATTAGATACTAGAAGTTGACATTAAAGGAAAATTAAGGGGACCAACTTTTGCAGTGCAGTTAAACATCATTCCCGTATTATGAGCAAACTGTTTATGTATCAAGTCTTCAATCTTTCCTTTCACTAAACTCCCGGGTGAAACAATTCTCACTCAACGAAAAATGATTATTTGTAATTGTTCTCGGGTGACTGTAAAATTGCATTACCTGATGCGTTAATTCCCATTTATGTATGCTTTGTAGCTAATTCTTTCAATTTATTTTAGCTTTCCATTTTTTATTCCCTTTTCTTTGTTTTGCATATGCATTCTTTTAATGATTAATTTGTTATGCATTATCATTCTTTAACCTCTTTTTTCGTTATAATTATATTAATTAAGCAACTACAGATGTAACTCAAAATTGGTCAGACATGAATATAATGCCCTGTTCACGCGAATGCGCATTAAAAATTGAATTTGCAATAAATTAATGCGAAGTAAAATAAAGCAAATTAAACAAATGCGAATTAAATTGTGTTCACACGGCAGTTAATGCGAAGTAAACTAATTCACATTAAAATTTTATTTCTACAGAAAGGCTATTGAGTAAGATTATTATGACGTCATTTGCAAATCACGTCACCTTATGCAGAGCAGATAACATTTGACATAATATCAGTCTCTGTACTCATTTTTGGAAATTAACAATTTTTTTCTTTGTCTTTCACTCAAAAATAACATAAGTACCTATTTTTGACTATCCACATGAACATCTGACTTAATTTTGCCATACCGTATGCGTCAAAATTTAATTCGAATTAGTTTCGCTTAGTCTTCCCACGGAGCTAAAGAGAATTAATTTGATGCGCAGTAAATTAATTCAAATTAAACTAATTTGCATTAAACTCTCCATGTGAAAGGCGTTCAAATTTAATTCACAGTAACTTACGTTTAAATCGAATGAAATTCTCCGTGTGAACAAGGCATAAGATCACTATTGCTATCGTGGAATGTTTGACTCGATAACCTGACCACAAAGATTTGAAAATTGCATACACTTTATTGTTCTGTTTATGACAAAAAAAAATTCAGTTACTTCAAGAAAAACATTAAAATAGTACACATATCAAGTAAGCAATGAATGAGGTTATGAAAGGGTTATTTTCCCATTTTTATCATCATTATATTGGCAGTTATATCTATTCATTAAAATCTCAATTTTTGGTTAGAATTATCGTCAATGCGTCTTGCAAATCTATGGAATTCTTTTCAAATTGACTAAGAAGTACAAAATTAGGATAAAATACTGTAGACCCTAATACATTGAAATAAAATAAATGTATAATAAATATGCTCAAAATCCAACATTACAAGTCTCACTTACACCAAAGAATCTGGATCTTTTTCTTATGGTTTTATTTTAAACACTTTAGTGTTTTCCCTCACCAAATTTGATAAAACAAGAGGCCATGGACGATAAAGCTTTCCTGAGTCAGCCTGGCCCTGCTTGCTGTTCTGAAGAATATTTAAAACAAAGACTTTATTCTTATGAACAATTTTGACCTCATACTGTGGCCCCAACTACGTCCCAACGAAATACGATGAAGCTGATCTTGAATCCACACTTCACGAGAATGCTTCAAAATCAATATGACAAGAATTGCCTTGCTTTTCTGGAGGAAAGAGAGGATTTAACTCTTCTGTATATGCATTATAAAAAAGTTTAGTCCCACACTAACACCAGAATGAATAATAAAAATTATAAAAACACTTAAATGCACTTATCTTTGGATTGTTACAATAACAATGAGGACTAGCTACTCTTGAAACACGTTTTTAATTTCCTAGGCATTCACACGTAGAAATTTAATCTCTTAAGTCCCATCTTACGTCTAGGTGAAAAAATTTGAACAAATTAAAATCTGCACTATCTTAGATATCTGCATATTTATTTGACTTAACAGCTTTGCCATCTTGAGAAGATAATGTTTCAAAGATTATAGCATGAACGAATTATCGGATAACAGTTCATCCATCTTCGAACCTCATTTACTATGCATAAACCAGTGTTCGATATATGTATTTGTGACGTTCCTTCGTTGGAGCTCTTTTCCCGTGTTAACAGGAGTCATACCCTGCTCCACATAGTACCGAGTGATAATTTGCTGCGCCGCATTATAGCAGGACATCGCCGTTTTGGACAATATCTAATAGTGTTTGGTCATAAAACATCACATCTTTGTCATTTATGAAGTCAAAGTATTAATCTTTTAAACACATGTACTCTAGATCGTACAGTTTCTATGGATGTAATTTTTGTCACATTATATTTCCATATAGCCGTGTAATAAAGAAAACATAGATTGCAATGCTAATTTTGAAAGTCAAGAAACTGCCGTGCGCCGACCACCGATATTTAACACCCTTTGAATGCTGTTTCTAAATGCATATGACATTCCAACCTTATAGTATTTAGTCAAAATGAAGAGAATATCATTTCCCAACAATGTGCCAAAAATGAGTAATTTTGGTAAGGTAGTTTATGAAATATTTAAAAAGTTCGCGTTTTTCTTGGACAACCCTCGTATATATACAAATATAAAAGTTTGATCCCAACCCTACCCTTTTGGACCCTGATTTTGGAAAAAAAATTGAATTTGCACTGCCTTGAAGATGCTTGCATATTGATATGAAATAACGAAGATAACGAACAGTGATCCAACTAAAAAAAACTGAAATGACAAATCTGTAAACAGGACATACATGTAAAACATGGATCCCTGGATACTCTAAAGGTGTCAGTCAAAAATACAACCCAATGATGTCTAACCATGGCCTTACCGTTCTTGGGAAGAAGATTGTTAAACATTTTTTTACAATAATTTTTCTTGTAATCCTTTGATCCCTTGTGGCACCCAATAGAGACAGGATTTGGGCATATTTGAATCTACACTACCTGGGAAACTTTGCATAATAATTTCACTATAATATACTTCTAGTATACTTTATCTCACTTCTGTTTTTGAGAAAAAGTTTTTAAAACATGCTTCCAATATATTCCCATTTAAACCTTTGATCCTTTATTGTGGCCCCAATCTATCCACTGAACCACCATTTGAATTATATTGAATTTGCATTAATTTAGAATGCTTCATGATAATATCACTCATAATGATCATTGTGTTCTTGAGAGGAAGATTTAAAAAAAACAACAACATATTTTCAATTTATTTCTATTTAAAACTTATATGTCGTATTGTGCCCCGCCCTTCCACGAGGCATGTGATTTTGATAAACCCGATTTTAAATGATGTCGAAAAGCTTTTAGATAAGTTACATTTTTTTCTGGCCCAGCGGTTCTTAAGATTTTTAATACGCCATCATTTATGGCTTGTTTAAATTATCTTCTCTTCCAAGAGAGCATGACCGTTATTTGAACAAACCTAAATTTCCTTTATCCAAGAGGCACTTGTACTAAATTTATTTGAAATCGGTCTAATTGTTCATTTTGAGAATTGATAATAATTGTACAAATAATGTATAGTTTATGGTATTACGTATACTGACTTTGACACCTTCTTTGGATATTTACTAAGCCGAATTCTGTTATATATTCTATATTATTATTCCCCTCTTAGTGTAGCAGTCGTACTACACTAACATGTTTTTAAACAAATTACTTGTATATTTTTGAAAGAAATATATTGCAACTGAAAACTTACACACAAGCAAAAGATGTGACAATTTTATTCCAAGTTTTTTTTAATCCTGACTAATATTCTCAAATAAAGCGGTTACCATCATTTTCTGATATCTTTAGTATCTACATTTTGACAGATAGTGAAAATATTAAGAAAAACCGCAAGAAATATGTTTTAAAAATTGACAGAAATTAAAAGCGACGTCGGCCATCCGCATGGACTGGCGTCCTATTATACAGTAATATTTTAATAAGGATGAAACGACGTTAGAAACAAACTATATTATTCAAACAATTGGAATTCATTGCAATATTTAGTTCGTTGATTTTTAATTGGTATATCTGATTTTTCAACGATGTGTACGATTTGAGAGACACTACAAAAAGTAGAAAATTACTATTATTGGATAGGATATAGGATAATAACAATAGAATATCTCTGCTCATGACGTTGTAATATATCTAGCGCAGAGTCGGATAAAATTACATACAGATTTCACAGCACAGTTAAGGCTGCAGTAAGGAGGCGGGGCCTAATTTGTACGGGAAATGCTTACTATGACATCACACAAAAATATAAGTTCTTCAAATTACCACAAAATGAAATAATTTGCTATTTTAAACTGGTGGATAGCTTTAAACTACATAAATACTAATTATTGCATGCATTTTTGTCGTTGGTTAAACCCCACAGAGCAACATGTAAACAATTTACTGATCGCAATGCACTTGTAAATGTGACGTCATGTCGTAAATGCTGACGCAGTTTGTATGCAGTGAGAGG